TATTTTACTGTCTCTTGCATCAGTTAATTTCTTTACACACCTGTTAAATATGTTCGATTTTTATAATCTCATGTAATTGATTTCTTGTGCTTTTTTCTGATTGATAATTTAAGATTAATGGACTACTCTTGATTATTTTCGTATTTTTTTACGATTCCAGATAAAAATCGTGAAAGATAAATTTTGCTTATCGTGATCAATTATTCATGACATTTTTTATAGTAATTATTTTTATGTCCGTGTTCATAATCGAATTGGCTTAAAAACAAATACAAAGTGTTGATTTAAGTGAAGTTTATGTTTCGTTAACTATTTCGTTTTATGCGCTTTCCCCATTTCAAAGTACTATATAAAAAAAGCATAACGTCATCTGACTCTTTCTTAATAATTGTATTTACAATGAATCTGGAACTATTGGGAACAAAAGTGTTGATTTAATTATGTTTTATGTTTCGCGTTAATTTGTGAAATGGGGGATATCTGTCAACATTTCATATTTATTCTCCCATCCAAAGAACTACTACAAAAAAAAACCCACATCGCTCTCTGGTGTGAAAATGTCCTTTATTGAGTTAAGATAAGTGACGATTCTAAAAACATAGATAAATTACAAATATAAAAACGTATAATAAAACTTGTTAAAGAAATAATCTGACACAAGATGAAAAAGGTGGTTTAACATCCCAATTCTCTGCGCACCAAAAGTTAATGAAGACAGGCATAAATTCTTGACCTCGACGTTTCCGTCATCGAATTCCAACCGTCAAGGGCCTGTTTATGTCCACACCGACGAGTACACGTGGTTTTCTTTGTCAGGCACTCCGCCCAACCTGGGGTATACCGAGAGGAGAGGGGGGGGGATCACTGTCTTATCGCAGAAGATAGAGAGAGGGGACGGGGTGGGGGGGGGGGTAAGATTGTGTGTTTGTACTTTTCATATATACCAAATTAGACATACTTTTATTGGAAATAAGCACCCGGTAAATACGTTTCTGGGAAAGTATCTTTAAACTGTGAATAACTGACTACAAATATTTTTATAATCAAAAACTACAGAAATAAAAATATAATTTACGTTTTAAAATATTAAACTACTTTCATAATCTAAAACCTTAGAGATAAATATATAATTAAGATTTCAAAATATAAAACTGAAAATATCTGCCAACAAATATTTCTATAATCAAAAATCAAAACAAGATACGTGAACTCTGTGTACGGGACATCGATTAATAAGGAATAATATATTTATAGAATTCTATGATTATCTTGCCGTTTAGATCAGTCTGTCTGATCAAGACTACAACAAAAGGTAGGAAAGAACCTATATAGGTCTTTTGTTAAATCCCTTTTCAAATGAATAAAATATTTGTTTAAACTAAACTTACAAAGATGGTGTATATAGGAATTTTATATTAATTGATTATATCCGACTGTTAGACAAAGACTACAAAAAAAGACTTGAACAATGGTAGTGTTTATAAATCAACAGACAGTATATCCGTCTGTCAGACAAAGACTACAACAATAGACATGAACAAATGAATAACAAAAAAATGAAGAATAATCTAAGCGCACTTTATCTATCAAATAAAAATGTGAACCACTTTTAGCGAATAATAATCTACGTAATGAAAATCTAAACCTTGAACTACTATTTTGTAAAACAGATTTGTACTTTAATAATTTATATCTGTCCTTTTACATTCATACATTGGAAGAAATTTCCAGAAAATATTAAAACCTCACAATCTTTAAGTGCATTTAAATCAGGGCTTTCACAAGTAAATCCTTTAATAAAACCACCACTACATTAAAAGGACAATAACACTCTTGCTGGCTTGACAGCTCCAGAAAATAAATAATAGCCTTATTCTAAGTACTAGATGTGTTAGTGTCCTACCTGTTGTGTAAATTATCCATTAAATCCTATTTTACTTGTCCAAAGGGTTCAAAAATATTTTTAAATCCAAGTCACATTTGAAAAGCTTTACGTCAGGCTTTTCAAATCATTTAGTTGAATTTTTCCAATTTTTTAAATTAGGTGTGTTAAGATGAAATTTGTATCATCAATTAATTGGAATATTGTAAAATAGTACAATTTGTTGACCAGAATAAAGATTGGGACATATTATTCAGTTACAACAAGAGTGGTATTGAGCCTTTAAAATACTGAAAATTGTGTTACATTTATCCATTGCCAATTATTAAGAAATAAAACTAGCATGTTGAAGGTGCATTATGTAAGATTCAGATAAAGGGCTGAAAGTTTTTGCTAGAATAGTTCAAATATTGATAATGAAAAATGAATATATTCAAAACCTTATTCAAATTATTTTCTTCTGGGGGAAGATGTCGCGTAGCAACGGTACTTGACAAACGAGACTAAGTCTCGACTATTCATTTTATCGTTAACCTTTTGAATCTCACAGATGTTCGAATCTATTTAAATCTCGGCCACCCGAAGATAGAGAGTTGAATTATTGGCTTGTCCTGTAAATAAATGTCTAAATAATAATTCATATAACATTTGAAGTCTGAAACAGAACAAAGATCTGAAAAAGGCAGATTTAATTCTTACACAATGTATGTTTAAATAACCACTTAATCTACCATTGTACTAGTGATACAAACTGTCTTTATTAGTCCACTAGTCCCAAAATGACCTAGTTTGTGTCGAGTGGATGTTAAACCCCATTTCCCTCTCTTTCTTCATTAGTCTAGTGGGAGCAGAAGAGTAGGACGTTAAACCCCATTTCATTTCATTTTATTAGAGATACAAAAGTGTGTCCGAGATGAGATGCTGCAGCAAGCGATAAGTACCGTTATCTTTTGGCGCCAATCTGTTTCGCAGAGAATTACGAGTCTAGTAGTAATATCTCTTGTCAAAGATGACTGCCTTAACACGCGCCGTTACAGCACGCGGCGTCAATCATTGGCTGAATGGCACGTGCTTTGTTTACATAAGACGTTACTGATTCGGGCAGAATGCTGCCTTTTAGTCATTTTAATACCCATTTACACCTAATAGGAAATAATTTTTACCTACAAATACGTCAAACGCCTTTATTTATTTTTCCAATACATAAAAAAAAATGTTTTAGAATTTAATTTGTACCAGGAAAAAAGTTAATATTTCTGGCTCATTAAGTCGCATCGATATCATCCTTATCAGTGATTGTAGCGGCCGACCGAAAATTCACTGCTGATCAGTGTGTTTTGACGCGTCCAGAATACTCTGGCTTAAGAACAATGCTACAAAATATACTACAAGACGTTAATCAAAATATGGATGGGGGCTGATTGGCAAATGGTTTAAACCTTAAGGTCTGTCATTAAGTCAAGTGGCGTTTGTTTCGATTCCCCGTTTATGCGTGACAAGGAGTAGGGTCGTCTGTCCAAACTTTAGTAAAGATAAAAAAATTTGCTTGAGCATAAAATACTGAGATTTTATATGATGTTATAGTGTTTAAATTTATGACTGTAGATTTTGAAATAGAAGGAATAAAATCTCGGTTTATAATGATGATTATTATATTTCCACCAAAACAAATTGCTAAATTGAAAAGACGCCAGATTATTAGCAACAATTATCATGGAAGGGACCCGTTTACAATTACTGCCTTCGTGACGTATTAATAAAAGAAAATTTCTAAGCTGAAAAATATATAACTATCATGGCCGCCCACAAACCCTCTAATTGAGTATTCATTAAAACAAAACATAGTACGATGTCCTGTAACCAGTTTTTTTCTTCCAACAATAAATATATTTTTTTTTAAATTCTTACAATGCAAAGTGGTTATAAGGGTGAATGTCTGAAAATTAAACACGTTGCTCAAACTAATAAAAAAAATGTATTTTTCACATGATGCCGGCCATTTATTAATTGATTATAACTTTATAGAAAAGTTTTTTTTTGTTAAATTTATAAATAGTACAAGTGAAGTGTAGTATCTGATAACGATGATGATAATATGTATATTAGCCATTAATTAAGACATATATAATTGGTTATATGATATTTAACAATATTGTATTACATGTTAATAATTTAACTGATTATTTTAACAATGTAATTAGATGCTGTAATTGTCAAGCCTTGAGAACACAGTATTTAGTCTATACATTAAACACCATGTTTTAATTTGTTCCTCGATCGCTAAATGTGACATTAAGATTATATTCGATCCATGTTTTAAACATTATAAGCCGTGTCAAGGTCGAGAGGGTCAAGGACATGAGACAGGTTGCATTGGAAGTAGTGACCTCTATTTTATTTTTGTTTTCATCATAAACTTAAAGGCGCTAAACGTCTAACTCTAAATTAAAAACACGAATTAGAATTCCATATTGATGTTGTTATCTCGCCGTAAAAAAAGAGATGACATCCTCATATCCAATATTTAAGACACAAGAGACATTTTGTAATCAGTACACGGGTCATGTAATCTATAATTTCGGTTGCCATTTGTAATGAACAAAGAAACACATACCCTACCAGACACTGCATAAGTTAATAGTAATGGCTGATTCACAAACGACAAAACAGTAATTAAAACAAAAACGTGTAGAATAGACTAAGCAGACATAAACAACCATGTGGAGACTGAACCTCTCCCCCAAATTCTTAAACCTAACCCTAGCACGGGGGGCCTGTCAATGTCGCTAAAAAATAAACCATCATCTCGTTTTAAAATGGACGCGAGATTTCGTCAATTCACCATGGCCGGTGTTGTGAGGAATGTCTCCTTTGTGCAAAATTTACAACCATCGTTCAATTTCGAGTGTTCACATATTTCACTGAACATAATTGATTAGAAATTACAATAATTATGTTAAAATATGAATTACTCGTAATCAGATTTTCATGTGTTGTAAATGTTCTTATTACTGATAAAAGACAAAATATGCGACACCATTTGTTGACTGCCCGGCTGACTTAGCTGCTGTGGGCGCATGTTTCGTTGCCTGGCATCATATCTTTTTTTATTTTATAGTCTAAACAAGAACAAAGAATTCGTATGTTTGAAGCTTGGAGTGACTGTCATATCAAGATAAACAAAACAGAGCCACCGCAAAACGGTAAGTTTCGTCTGTTTTAGGTTTGAGGATTGGGAAATGAAATGAAATGAAATGAAATGGGGTTTAACGTCCTTCTGTTCTGTTCCGAACTGTGCTAATGAAGATGGGCATACGCCATACAGTGTGCTATGAGGGAAATTTTGCCCGGACAGCGGCACTACGGCCTACTCTTATATCGAATTCCAATTGTCAAGGGATCTTTAACGTGCACGCCAATGTGTACACGGGACCTCGGTTTTTCGTCCCATCCGAACGACTAGACAGTTGTCCTTGCCAGGACCTCCGTCCTGCATCACTGACACGGTGGAACCACGCCGGAAAATCTGGATGACCTTTCTCGGCCATTGCAGGGATCGAACACCCGACCTCCAGGCTAGCGCACCAGCGTCTTGCCTACCCACTTAGCCACCATGACCCCCTGGAGAATTGGGAGACCGTTAAATCACAAGGTCTGTCGTTGGGTCAGTTGGCGTGGTTTCGATTTTCTGGAGTAGAAACACCTGTCCAACCCCGTGCGTTTTGTTGCAGGTCCCCCGGGTTTCTCCGAAGACTAAAGACCCCTACGGCGCAAACGAGTTATTTAAGTATAAATGAAGCATGTGTTAGTCCAGAAATACCCTAGTTTGTGTCAAGTGGAAGTTAACCTCCCCTCTCTCCCTCTCTGGATGATGTGAGGGATTGGCCGATGAAACCATCTGTTACGGCGACTTCTTGGCGTGTGATGCACGGAACAGTGGGTAAACCACTAGAAACACCAACGCTGATTGATTAATCAATGTCAGACGTCATATGGTTAAAAGCCGCTCATACGACCCATGACACAAGCTTCCAGTACAACTGGTCAGATCTTCATATGTAGACCATCGAAAGTATACTACAACGAAACGAAATATAGATCTGTATTTTAATCAGATTGAGATTTAAACGGATGGAAAAACGATGGGCATTTGATGATTTAATTTAAAAATTGGTGAATCGAGGTTTAGTCTCGATTAACAAGTACCGTTGATACGATAATAAACAATCTATGCCAAATCTTCATAGAGTGATAACTTCGCTGAGAATAAAGTAATTTGAATGAAATTTTTCATTATCTATTTTTTAACTATTATAGTGAGAACGGCCAGTGCGTTATCTGAATCTTACATAATGTATCTTTGACTAAATTATATATATAACTAGCAGGATACCCGGCTTCGGTCGGGGGTCATAACTCCGAAACCGGAAGTGGTAGACTAACGCCACCTGGCCTATGTTAATCCCCGGTCAGAGCTACCCCTATACCCCAAATTTCAGACTCGGGCAGGCCTAGTGTAGCTGCCAACCCCGAACAGACCGGCTTCGCTCGGGGGTCATAACTCCGAAACCGGAAGTGGTAGACTAACGCCACCTGGCCTATGTTACTCCCCGGTCCGAGCTACCCCTATACCCCAAATTTCAGACTCGGGGCAGACCTAGTGTAGCCGCCAACCCTGAACAGACAGACAGACAGACAAACGACAGTCACAAATATATATATAGAGAGATAGATAATAATAAAAATATATACGAAGTATACGATTAAAATTATGCTGTGTTTTTAGGTTTATACTGTAAAATGATATTTGATGACATCATGTGTTGGGATTATACCCCAGCTGGTCAACTTGCTAAACAATCATGTCCCGATTATATCTCAGGCTTCTATACAGAAGGTAGGTAAAGTACAGGTTGTTAGTTAAAGGTGTGTGTGGGGGGGGGGCACATCAGTCGTATACAAACCCCGATCGTACAGCACAGTAGCCGTTTACGGCTAACCCCCGAATCCATTCCGTTGATCCAATACATGCGTGTGTTGTTTGTGTTCGCTGTTTATTGTGTGTCATATCCGTAGGTTTGTCTTGTGTACGATCCGGTCCCCCTGCAATTACTATTAAAGATGGTGTTGGTTAAACTAGAAACAAATCAGTGACAAATGTTTAGGTCACGTGTCTGAAGTGTGGTTTAGTTTACATTGGTTTTTTTTTCCTCAGCACAAGCTTCGTCGAACTTACTTTCGTTTTACGGTTAATCGCTACTCAGTTTGTTGTTTTTGTTCTTCTTGGGGGGCGGCGCTCTTTAAGGCTTCGCTAGTGTATGTACAATCAACATGCAACTCGACATTCTTGTTTCTTTTAATTTTAATATGACGTCACACGTCCATAAGGATGACGTCATACATGGTACGGCGGTACTTGTTTTTATAGTTGATAGTTTTAGTTTGTATTCTTGTGTTGTGACGTCCGCGTCCTCATAAGGTGGTATCGCAGACACTTCAGTGTGTATTCCTGTGTCCCATATCGCAGTGTGTATTATTGTGTTGTGTATATTTAGGTACAGCAGAGAGACAGTGTATGCCTAATGGCGAGTGGTTTGTACATCCGGACTACAACAAAACGTGGACAGACTTTCATGGATGTCATCAGAGAACGAAAGATCCACATCTGATGGTCATTGGGGTAAGTTCATATTCCGTAGCTAGCGGAGCATGGGGGGGGGGCAGCTGCCTCCCAAGGACAAATATCGGCGCACCCAATGGGCGCCTTCATCATTAGATGCAATACGAAGCCAACGACCAACGTGCCCTTCTTGCCCCCCACCCACTCGCGCTAGCTACGGGCCTGTCCACTTTCTAACAATTAGTTCAGGGGAATCGTGATGAAATGAAAATGATATGAAATGGGGTTTAACGTCCTACTGTTTGGCTCTGATAGGGTAGTTTTTCCCAGGACAGCGGCGCTACGGGCTACACTTATATCGAATTCCAACTGTCAAGGGGTCTTTTACGGACAAGCCAATATGTACCGCGGAATCTCGATTGTACGTCCCACCCAAATAACTAGACGTTGTTCGTTTCCCGTCCAGAACCCCTGACAAGCCAATATGTACCGCGGAATCGTTCGTTTCCCGTCCAGAACCCCTGACAAGAGGAAACCAAGTTGGAAGATCCAGAGAAACTAACTCGATCAAAACCCAGATCAAATCCTTGAGCTCCAAGTTAGCGAGCCAGTGTCTTACCCACTGGGTCAGCGTGATTGTAAAATTACTGAGATTTAAATGTTTTAGAATTCATGACTAGTCCTGAAAACAGCCGCAATAATCGTATTTAAGGAGTTCGAGGACTCTCTTGCAAATTGTTATCAGTAAGGTCAGTCTAGGGTTAGATTGACCCCGCTATTAATCAAATATATGATGAGATTGATAATGTCCCCTGAATTACAAATGACGCGCTGACAAACATAAGATGAAATGAAATGAAATGGGGTTTAACGTCCTACTGTTCTGCTCCTAAACTGGGCTAATGAAGACGGGCATACGCCATACAGTGTGCTATGAGGGAAATTTTGCCCGGGCAGCGGCACTATGGCCCACTCTTATATTGAATTCCAACTGCCAAGGGATCTTTTACGTGCACGACAATTTGTACACGGAACAAGTGAAGTATAGTTTGAATGGTTACATTTACAATGAAATATCCTTATATCGAATTCAAACTGCCAAGGGATCTTTTACGTGCACGCCAATATGTACACGGGACCTCGGTTTTTCGTCCCATCCGAACGACTAGACAGCTGTCCTTGTCAGGCCCTCCGTCCTGCATCACTGACAAAGGGAAACCACGCCGGAAAATCTGGATGAACTTTCTTGGCCAATGCAGGGATCGAACATCCGACCTCCAGACTAGCGAGCCAGCGTCTTACCCACTTAGCCACGTGATCCCCCAAACATAAGATAACAGGTGCGTTGTTATCCATCACTCGGGGGGAATCCACATGGTTCACGTGGTTCACAATGTTAGTATTGGCAGTAATCTGTCTCTATAGACTGCCATAATAGTAAATCAACTTATTGATAAGTTAAAACAAGCTTTTATTCAACTGATGTGAGCTATCGAGTGAGTTATCTAAATTATTAATGTTCATGTTGTTATTTACAAATTTAATAGCATTTTGTCTAAAAAAAAAAAAAATAAACCCAAAAACAAAAGAAAAAAACCACAAAAACAAATTTTCGATGAAAGTTCTTGAACATTTTTATATACAAGAACTGTTTAATGTTTTTACACATTATTTTTATTACTCATTCATATGTAAATGATTTAATTAAGATACATTATATGGGATATTCGATAACGAGTTGGCAGTTCTCACTATAATAGTTAAAAACTAGATAATGTAAAGGCAGTTTGCTGAAAATTTCATTCAAATTGATCCACTATGAACCGAGAACTAAGCGTTTGAAATTTCCGCCTAGTCTTTATCACCATTACAAAAGCCAGTCCGATAAACAGCATAGTCTCGATTATCCATTTAATCGTTAAATCGTTAAGGACCGTTATGCAGTAAATCGGCTCATAATCCACTTAAGATCACAGGCTAGCGATGCCATCTAGAGTTGATTATGGTCTGGATAGGTTAATTAATGTCTAATTAATAATTTAGTTAACATTTCAGGCCTAAAGAAAGTCCTTCAATAAACAGATTTAGCTCTTGCATAATGTATGTTTAATATGATTAATACAATGACGTCATTATTAATGTGACGTCATAATGTATGTTTAAATCAACAAATTTAAGGTTCAATACAGCTCTTGTGCGTGAAATAGCTTTATTTTACGTCCGCTTCCTCCATTTCCACGTTTATATCATTACACTCCATAGATAGCAGACAGACACAACTAAACTATATATTTAAACATACATTATACAAGAGCCAAATCTGCCTATTCCAGTTCTTTTTTCTGGCTTAAAACGTTATATGTATTATTATTTAGACAAACCCATAATCAACTGATTGGAGTATCGGATTGCTTAAATATTGAACAGATTAAAACATCCACGCCATTTAACAATTTATCTAATCCTCCATAATTGTCCCTTTAAGTTAAACTTGTATTTTATGTTTCAGAAACATCTAGACAATGTCCAGTTATTGGCTAGAATTGGTTACAGTATTTCATTGGCTTTCTTACTCTTTGCTGTCTTTATTATGATCTATTTCAAGTAAGTCAATCCTACAGCTTCATTGGTCGAATAACTGTGACGTATGTAGCCAGGTTCATTTTAGGTTACAAACTAAGGAACTTTAGATTTCATTTTTGTAAATCAAATAAATGGTTGAAATTTTACCAATCTTATTAAAACACAGAACCTATTTCGTTTCATTTTTTATAGTTCAAAATTTCGTTTTACTTGTCTTCACAACGCTATGATCTGGAATAGTTGTTATATATCCCGTGTTCTGGTTGATGTGAAGGATTAGTCATACGTTCTGTCATTGAGTCAACTGGCGGGGTTTCGATTCCCCTGTTGTACGTGACAAGGAGTAGGGTGGCCTGTCCAACCTCGTGGGTTTTCTCCGGGCCCTCCGGTTTCCTCCCACTGCTAAAGACCCCTACGCGCAAGCGAATTATTGAAATAAAATTGAACCATGCGTTAGTCCAAAAATGTGTCGAGTGGACGTTAAACCCCATTTCTTTCTCTCTATATATATATATATATATTATCCAACATGTATCCTATATGTTCTATATTTATACCGTGTATATATATATAAATCAGAGAAAGGGGTTACACATACGAATAGCCTGTTCACTAATTCAAATTCACATATTTACTGAATAAAAAATACTGTTTATAAAAAAAGTTCTCTAACAGAGAGTTCTCGGTTTCGGTTTTGGCAAGGGCACCTTGTTATGTATGAAGTTGAACCAGATTACACAATATCATGACATCACAATATCATGACCATCACAATATCATGACATCACAATACGTCTCCCAGTTAGCCACAGCTTACCCAGAAAATAATAAGGGGTTTTCTTTATGCTATAATCTTGTCGCCATCGGATAGGGATGTCTCCCAGTTAGTCTCCGCGTACCCGGAAAATAATCAGAGGTTTTCTTTAAGCTATAATCTTGTCGCCATCGGATAGGGAGCAGTAATTACTGGCAAACGCAATCAAATTTGCGATGTTTTAAACCTGTGATTATCCGTACACTAGGTTCAGCGAAGATTGACGAGTCCTAATCCATGGATTATACTAGATTTAAAGACAGACATTGCGATTACATTTCCTATGAAAGGGATTGGTCCTAATCCATTATTTATATCATATCGTGTATATAAATTCATCCTTGTCAATGATCATATTACGACCCTAGATTTATCTACAATTATAGGATTATTTAATAATCGAAACAAATCTTTTTATCAATCGATTGAATACCATGAGCACATTATAAGGAATTAGGATCGTAGATCTGCAGCCAGTCCGGGGGTTTGGTGACCGAGTGTTTTAAAGTCTCAGCACTAGATTACACGGACACATCAGCCCTATCTTGCATCAACTCCATTGGCTTTTTGAGAGAGAGAGAGAGGGGGGTGGGGTGGGTTAACGTCCACTAGACACAAACCAGGTCATTTCTGGACTAACATATGGTTCCATTTTATTTCAATTATTCGGTTGCGGCGTAGGGATCTTAAGCAGTGAGAAGAAACCGGAGGACCAGGAGAAAACCCACGAGGTTGGGCAGGCGACCCCAATTGGCTTCCTGTCTGTCAGCGTATGCAATTCAAAGTGACCAGAATTAATTACCACTTGGTTTCCACAGAGGTCCATTCGTCGGGCGACAATCGAAGGAGGAGAGCTAAATATATCGGAGTATGACGGGTATGACTTCTATGGATCCCGCTCTTTCTCTATCGCCGCACCCACTCTCTGGAACGCACAATAGACACATTAGCATCTTTTAAAAGTTCCGTAAAAACTTTACTTTTTAAAGAATACTATTCCTCAATTTTTTAACCTTGAAGTATTTTTGTAGCTTTTTAGTTTTTCTTTTCTATATTTTGTGTTAATTCTGGAAAGTTCGTTAATATGTACATGTGACTGACTGTAAACAATAAATTATTATTATTATCATAAGGTCTGCCATTGAGTCAGGTGGCGTGGTTTCGATTCCCCGATTGTACGTGACAAAGAGTAGGGTCGTCTGCCCAACCCCGTGAGCTTTCTCTAGGTCTTCCGGTTCCTTTAACAGCTAAAGATCCCTATATACACGCCCGCGAATTATTGCAATTAAATTGAACCACATGTTAGTCTCGAAATAGCCTAGTTTGTCCGCAGATTCCAAATATAGAACTATTTATGATATAAAAACCCTGATGAGTTCTAATCCACGATTTATACTAGATTTAAAGATAGACATTGAAATGATTTTAATAAAGTATGTGAATATCGTATGAGTATTTTTCTGTCCAATCTGATTCAAACACAGATCCTATTTCGTTTCGTTTTTTATAGTTCAAAATTTCGTTTTACTTGTCTTTACTACACTAGAATCTGGAAGACTTATATTACCGGAGTGCGATCCACGGAACTGTGGGTAAACCACTAGAAACGTCAACGCTGATTGGGTAATCAATGTCTGACGCGACCTTCCAGTACAACTAGTCAGATCTCCATGTAGTATACTTCATCAAAAGTATATTAAAAAAAACAAAACGACGCGAAATATAGATCTGCATTTTTAATCCAATTGCTTGCTGTTTAACCCAGTGTATGTTTATTTTACAGAAAGTTACACTGTCAGAGGAATACCATCCACGTGAATCTGTTCTTATCGTGTATATTACGAGCAGGTGTGTGTTTATTAAAAGAGGTCATCATGGTTCAGGGGATGGGCTTACCTATGGATATTGAATATAATCAAAATGGCGAACCGGTGTTTATTCAGGAAGGAACGGTGTGTATTGTTTTTGGTTTAAATAATATTATCAGGGGGTGGTGTTAGCCTTGGATAAATCATTTTTTGTGTATAAATATATAATCAAGGGGTGGATAATCAATCCCACATGCGTCTGCACACAGAAGTCAACATTATCGACTGCGCATGCGTTTGTTTCATTAGGATAATGAATGTTTCCTAACAATGTACCTGATCTGGGGTAATACACGTCACACGCAGTTAACACATGCGCACAGTAGACGGTGACTTTTGTGTAGACGCAATTACGAATCTTTACTGTCGCAACTTCCGGTTAGATGGTGCGAAAACCCGAGGCCCTGTGTACACATTCGCATAAACGTAAAAGATCCGTGGCATTTAGAATTCGACAACACCACTGTAAGGGCAGAATTTCCCTCATAGCACCGCACTGTATGACGTATGCCCGTCTTCATTATCCCAGTTAGAGCAGAATAGTGGGACAAATAAAACCTTTTCATATGATTTCACCAAGCTGGACAGAGTGATAGACGCGATAGACCAATCGGTAACCCAAACACCAAGATATCGATACAGCTTTTATCGATACACCAGACCTGTGAGTGAACATAAACAGTCTAACGTATATCAAGTTATCACGGTAGTAATTCACTAAACCATTTATATACATCAACAACACCGTGACCAAATATGGTACACTTGAATATTACCAATCAACACAAGACATTTACGTTTCTCCTTTCACGCTTTGTCTGGCTGCCATCTTTGGATAAATTGAAACCGAGCGTCTCACTGCGTCTCACTGCGTCTATTTACTCCATTTTGAAGCCCGGGCAGGCTGTGAATAAATTGCTGTCATTAATTGTAAATGATCCAGCGTAATGTTTCCTTTCTCCTGTCATTCAAGACTATTATATATTAGTCTCGGTCTAGCCAGGCACTCGGTAATCATTGATTCATAAAACTAATGTAAAAGTGCCCCCCTTGAGTCTCTGAATGACGCCGAGGATATTATTGTGCGTCAAGTCTTCAGTGTATATATCTGGTAAGTGATACGTGTACGTATCAAGAATACAATATGGAGAAAATGTACATGAGTTGTGGCTTCTATAATCCAAGTTCTAAACGTTCATACAAGTATTGACGCACGGTCTTCTGATTAAATCAGGGGTAACAATTTCATTTCAATAACTCTCTTGTGCGTCAAGGTCTTTAGCTGTGGGAGACCACGTAAGGATCAAGGAGGGAGGACACCCACGAGGTCAGGCAAGTGACCCTACTCCTAGTCAAGTACATGTGGTGAGATTCAATTACAGACGTTATGATCTAAAGCGCATTCGGCAACCATACCCCATCCTTGTGGAGACACAGTCAAACAAAACGCGACACTTCTGATCAATTCAAGGCTTCGTTCACTAGTCTATGAACAAAGATGTAAACATCAGCATAAGAATACGGGCATAATTTGAAAACTATATGTGAACTCATACAATAAGAAGTAGTATCGGGTGAAATAGAGTCAGCATATTGTCACGTGACACCAATCACTATTTATAGCTCAATGGAGCAATGGGAAAACCTTGTCTGCGATATCACCTCGGTGGAAGTGGACGTAAAATACAACTAACAAACAACAATGGGAAAACCCGAGAACTTGCTCGGACTAACATATGGTTCAATTTTAGCAGTGGGGGAGGAAACCGGAGGACCCGGAGAAAACCCACGAGGTTGGACAGGTGAATCGAGGGGAATTGACCCCCCCACACACACACACACACACACACACACACACACACGTGGACAAAGGCGCTTTCGCTTACTTTTGATTGAATTCCCAGGGTTATTTTAGGTGCACTTCTCGTCGAACGACTAGACGTCTTTTGCCAGGTTCTCCGATCAGATGGAAAATCATCTGGGGGAACTTCCTCGATCATCATGGGGATCGGACTGAATCAACATCATAAAAAAATGAATTTAAATAAACTCATTGGTTAGTCCGTTACTAGTCAAGTTATTAATCGAATATATAAACTATATAAGAAATGTAAGAGCTAAATCTGCCTATCGAAGATCTTTATTTAGGCCTGAAACGTTATCTAAATTATTAATTAGACATTAATTAACTTACAAAGATCATAATCAACTCTCGATGCCGTCAGATGTCTAGGGTGTTCAGTTTTTCATTTCTTAATTAAACACAGATATCCAGCTTCTTCCTGAATGATAGTTAGGGATTGTAATTCATATCTCTTGCTCTCTGTTACACGAGTGATTCTATGTTTTTTATTCGTATTTGACAAGAATGATCAAAGAAGTAAGACGTATGACTGATCAAGTTTTGTTAGTGATGTAAATGATCTAATTAACTACTCATAACGCCAGATAAAAACATACTGTCATAATATCTTAGATAAAAACATACTAGCACTTCTATACTAATGCTATGTTCCTACTATCACGATGAGTGCTATGATTTAAATCGTGGTTTTAATCTTGGTGTAATCGGGGTGATCCTGTAAGGCCCTATTGAGGTCAGTCGTAGCAATCGTGTTGACCGTATCAAAACGTATCCGAACGTATCTGCACGTAGCAGATAGTGAACTTAATAGAGACCTTTATGGTAAAGGGGTATAAACTTTCTGAAATCATACATTAGTAAAACCAAAAATTGCTGTCGAGTTGAAGTCGAAGATTTTTTAATAAGATTCGACATTGAATTTTTTTTTAATAGCTCAGCGACTGTCGAGCGACTTCACTCCTTCCAGGAAATTGTAGGCTAGGTACGTGAATAGTACTGATGGTGATCTTGGTAGATATCTGTACTAAGCTGAGCTCAGCGATGCATACGTACGCGACGCCAAAATGTGCCAAAACTCTAAAACTACATTGACGTAACGTATTACGTATACGATACGGATACGTGATACGGATGGGAAAAATTCCGATTGCCAAAAGTCTGTTATATGGACCATCTTTTTGCAAGGCATTGTACGACAGTGGGAATCTGACATCAGATTAAAACAAACATACTATCATTCCTTTTATAAACTACTCATAACGCCAAATAAAAAACATACTGTCATAATACACTAAGATGATGGATTCACTTATAGAACAAGATGAATATAATATAATACTGGTTAATACTGAAGAAATTCCAGCTACGTGATGTAACTAATAAAACTGACTAATTGACCATATTAGTCATGTAAAAGTATAAGGTTAATTCCATATCAACGATGTAAAGAATATAATTATTAAATGTACTGGCCATGGTGATACCAATTTGACATGTGATAAAGGAAGGTTTCTAGTCACTGAAGTAAATATTTTTAATTAATTAGTACCGTTAGAGGGGTTAAAGGTTAAAAGTTAAAGGTTCAATCATGAACTGTCACAGTGTCTAAATGCGTTTCTTTCTTCATATCCGGTAAAGAATTCCAGATTATACAAGTGTAAATGAAATGAAACGCGGTTTAACGTCCGTTTACTCCATGCGCCGACTAGGTTAATGAAGACAGGCCCTACGCCATTCAGTGTGCTATGAGGGAAATTTTGCCCGGACAGTGGCGCTATGGCTACTCTTATATTGAATTCCAACTGTCAAAGCTTCTTTTACGAGCACGCCAGTGTGACACATGACAGCGGTTTTGGTCCCATCCGAACGACTATACATTGTCCCTTGCCAGGCCCTTTGTCTTGAGTCACTGACCAGGATGAACCACGCCTTAAAATCACGATGACTTTTCTCGGCAAACACCGGGATCGAACGCGAGACCTACATGTTACCGAGCCAACATCTTACTCGTTAAGCTACCGCGACTCTCAATAAATGAATGAATGAATGAATCATTCTTAGACGCCACTAAGTATGTTTCAAACGACTTCATCCATTTCATTAAAGGAGCTAAATCGCTAATACTTGGGACCTAGAAATTGATCCTAATGGGTCGTAACGCATATAGTAATGTAATCTGATTTATATAAACTGATTTACATTCAATTGTTTCCGTTTTGACTCTAATTTCAAAACAGTTATGTCCAGCGAAATACGACATGAGTCTCAACCGAATGGCAATTTCTAGCATCTGGTTATTCCAGTCTATTGCGTATGCTCTCCAGATAATAGTATGTATATGGAGTTGTGGAGTATGTCTAGCCTCGTTCTTTCTGGTCACTTGTTACAAATGATGCTGAAACGCACTTTGGTACACGATGCGTGTACCAATGGTAAAATGCTTATTTTGTCTTAAATATTGGATATCAGAAGCCCATCTCTTCCCGGTAAGATCACAACATCAATGTTGATTTGAATTGACAAATAATTCGTGTTTTCAACGTGTATGATATTGAGTTAGAGACTTGATTACTTTAATCGTATATCAGTTGTTTATTGTCATGGGGCCATTTTCATTTGATAGTTGGAATTCGATAAAAGAGTTGGCCATAGTGCCGCTGTCCGGGCAAAATTTCACTCACAGCACACTGTATGGTGTATGTCCGTCTTCATTAGCCCATTCGGAACAGAACAGAAGGACGTTTGTTAACGCATTTAATGCTACACATGTCACTGACATTGTATAATTGGGACATAATGACAGCTCGTAGACGCAATCCAGTACTCTTGAAGGTAATTGAGGCATGTTAATGCCAAAAGATGTCTTGTTCATAAGGGGTAATCAGCTTTTTGATATGATAGTGATATCCGACAAACGGTCACGATGGCGATTGGTACTTTATAACCTAGTGAACCTACTATAGTTCAATTAAAAACGTCAATTTTTAAGTAATATAAAATGAAATGGGCCAATAAAGACCTACATACGCCATGCCGTATGCTAAGAAATTAATTTTGCCCGGAAAGCAGCGCTACGGCCTACTCGTATCTCGAATTCTGTCAAGGGCTCTTTTAGCTTTCATGTGTCTAGTCCTGTTGTCATTAGCGTTCACGTAAAAGAAGCTTTTCGGTTACATTTCCGTCTTCATTGTACCGATTGGCTTGGAGCAGGAGGACTTTAAACCCCATTTTATGTCATTAAAGTTCCCCTCTATAGCCTGCCAACCCGACAACAACAACCAAGAATTAAACAGAATACTGCATGTATTCTATATAAGAATATCATCAGTATACTGGAGACCGGGGAATTAAATACAATCTCATCTGTTAGATCAAATACTATAAACCACAGCAACATGCTTGGGAAACTCATACACCAATTAACAGAGGTCAGAGGTCAAGTTTATTCGGATATTCAAGATCATCTTTTATTGATTTTGTTTGGCATGTTGAATAAACGATCTGCACCAGTAATAAATAAACCATCACAATGTATAAAACTAATACGTCAAATACACGTCAGAATTGTTAATATAGTTTTACCCAATCATCATTCAGTTGGACAGTTACTGCTGGTTTTAGGGAAGTGGTAATCAAATCAAACGACGTGCTTTTATAAAGCCGGGTACTTCTTCTCTGGTGAAGTAATGAAATGATTAAGTAAACAAAATCAAAATATGACAATCTCCCGCCTTTAAGACAAAACTAGAAATGAAATGAAATGGGGTTTAACGTCCTATTTTTCTGCTCCTACTGGGCTAATAAAGACGGGTATACGTCATAAAGTGTGCTATGGCGGACATTTTGTCCGTACAGAGGCGATACGGCCTATTCTTATTTCGAATTTCAATTGTCAAGGGTTCTTCCACGTGTACATCCAAACGACTATAAGTTGACTCTTACCAATGATTTTCCGGCGTGGTTCATCCTTGTCAGTGGTGCAGGGCAGAGGGCCTGCCAAGGGACAACGTATAGTCGTTCGGGTGGGACGAAAAACCGAGGTCCCGTGTACACATTGCCGTGCACGGAAAAGATCCCTTGACAGTTGGGACTTGATATTTCCCTCATAGCACACTGTAGGTCCTATGGCGTAGCCTATGTCCGTCTTCATTAGCACAGTCTGAGCAGAACAGTAGGACGTTAAACTCCATTTCATATGAACTGCCCATTTGTTAGTTTTTCATACACGGGACCTCAAGTTTAGAGAGCCAACGTATTACACACTGAGCCACGGCGGCTTCGACTGGGAAATGATGTAGTTCCTGGCTATATGTTATATAAACCGTATTCTATTCCTACTAATAACTCGATTCTATAGGATGTCCGGTTCCTTTCTCATTTATCAAAAACATAGAATTAATAACCACCATGGGAAATAATCAACTAGGTTATTCGGTTACTCGCCGATTTGTGTGAAATGGATCACCATTCCTTGATTATATCTCCTGCTCTTGTTTCAACTTCCTTTAAAGAGGGTATAGCTCCGTCCTTTAAAGGGGGTATAGCTCTGTTCTTTTAGAGTCGTACAATAGATGGAAATGGGTCGGTGAAATACAAGAGAAGTCTAACTTGAATGACAGTCGATGGATTCCGCTAGAACATGTATTGAACGCCTCGAAAACCACTATAGTATATATTATCATGGACCGTGTATAGATGAACAGGCAACGTCAACGAAGCCTTTAGAATTCTGTGCCGCGGCAAAAAAATAGACCGGACAATCGTGACTAAAATAAAATTGCCTCCCATCGCGCAATTACCAGTATTAAAGGAACTAAATCGCTAATATTTGGGACCTAGAAATTGACACAAATGGGTCGCAACGCATATAATAATGTAATATTAATATATATAAACTGATTTACTTTTAATCATTTCCATTTTTACTCTGATTTCAAATCAGTTATGTTCGGCGAAATACGCCAGAAGTCTCAATCGAATGGCAATCTCTAGCGTCTCGTTATTCCAGTCTACATTGATAGTATTTATTGCGCATGCTCTCCAGATAAGAATATGGCCTCACCGTTTGACATGACGTGTGGAATATGTCTAGCCCCGCTCTTCGAGTCCCTTATTAGAAATGGTGCTGAAACGCATTATGGTACACGATTCGTGTACCAATGCTGAAATGTTTATTTTATTTTAAATATTGTATATCAGAAGCCCATCTTTTCACGATACGATAACAACATCAATGTTGATTTAAATTGACAAATAATTTGTGTTTTCAATGGCGAAGACTTTGGATGATATTGAGTTAGAGACTTAGCTACTTTAAGTTTAAAAGCAGAGAAACAGAAATCGATTCATAATATTTTTATTAATCTTGCTACTCTTTTTTTTTTTTCTTTTTTTTTTTTTTTTTTTTGCAACCCATACATAGATAGACTACTAACTGATGATCGAGGTGTAAATGTATCAACACATCGTCTTTGTTTACTTCGGACGTGAATCTGAAAAATAACATGTCGATTTTTCGTTAAAAACAAACCAAATAAAACGCTCTTTTAATTTTTACTTCTGCACAATTAATCATCATTCCGGACAGTATTATACCTAAACTTTATTTTCATAATTTTAAAATCCTTCATGCATGCGGGAATTTGGAGTATTAAGCAAAACTAAAATGCTTACAAAAACTACGAAAATATTGAAATTGATCATTTCACAATTTTCAACTGCTGCATTTGGAAATTTCAAAGTTCTAAACTGGAGAAATTCGTCACTACCAGGTTAGGAATAATTAGCGGGTTGAAAAATTACCATGTAACTATAAGAATACCGTAAATTCGAAGGAGGAGTTCGAGAAATTAATCTGTGTAAAATCCCACAATGTCAAACATCACATCGCTTGATTTGCCGTTCACATTGAGATCTTGTCCTGTCTCGCGCGAGCGGCAAAGAATCCAACCACATGGACTCGTTGCCTGACCATCTATATACAGTCCATGGTATTATACTACAATGTGTGCGACACGAACTGGTACATAAGCCACCACAGGTGTCTGTAGTCCGTAATTTATTAGACAACTTGTAAAACAACTCTTCACAGTTGAAAATTGATATAAGAGTCCGCTATTCGGGGAAAATTCCCCTTATAGCACAATGTATGGCGTATGCCCGTCTTCATTCGCCCAGTCGGTGCAGAACAGTAGGACGTTAAACCTCATTTCATTTCATGAAGGATACGGTGTATTGTTTGACCAAGGGTTATAGATCGGTATGTTATTGGGTTATTGGTCTACTTCTATAACAGATTACTACCCAATTACTTGTTAACCTCACTTCCAGAGATTTAACTCAGCCTACCATATAGTTTTACATCACTCCCTAGAGAAATAAACCCGGCCTAGCATATAGTTTTACATCACTCCCTGTAGAAATAAACACACCTATTCTTTCTACACAGTCACTCAAAATATATATATATATATATAGAGAGAGAGAGAGAGAGAGAGAGAGCGGTCAACTAAATCAGAAAAGACATAGCAAATAGATTTGGATAATGATAGGTCGTAATTAAATGTACCAGCAGGGATAATGAAGACGCGCAATGACGTTTTTTGTAAGAAATTTTGCCGGATCGCCGAGCTACGGCTTATTCTTATATTGAAGCCTAATCGTCAAGTGTTCTTGTACATGCACGCCAATGTGTACACGGGACCTTGGTATTTTCGACCCATCCGAACAACTAACGTTGTCCCTGCCAGGCCCTCTGCCCTGCACCACTGACAAGGGGGAGCCACGTCGGAAAATCCTGATGAAATTTCTCGTACACTTCTGGGTCGAACACGGGACCTTAAGGTTAGCGAGCCAACGTCTTACTTACTTGATTTATTGTTTTGTTTAATTCTTGCAATGTCTATGTAGGTTTTCGTGTCCGCATGTTTTGTGTTTTCGGTTGTTTTACGTGTAGTGCAGTCCTCCTGCACTTACTATTATCCACCACGCCTTCACGTTTATGTACCAGCGGATAACATAGTGCTGCTGAAACCGGAAGTGATGGGCCAGCACCACCTAGCCTATGTTACTCCTCGGTCCGAGCTAACCCTTTACACCAAATTTCAGCCTCAGGACAGCCCTAATGTAACCGCCAACCCTGGACAGACAAACAGACAGACAAACAAACGACAGTCACAAATATTAGTATAGATAAAATGTTTTCTTGTTAGCGACTTATGATCCTAACTTGTTTTGATCGTGTGTTATTACTGTATATCAGAAATAACACAAGACCAAAAAAAAGTTATAACAGTAAGTCTTCACATTATCTTGACGGGGTGTCATGTGCAGATTACGCATTTTCATTTGTCAATAATTACGAAGCCATTTACCACTGTTCTTTATAATAAAAGACTGGATGAAATAGTCCCTTGGATGTCTTGTAATCCATATTTATGAATACAGGCTATGCACGATACTTGATCTTTCCGATCTGAGAAATATCTTTGATTCTTTCCGTGTTTATACCCACAATTCTAACCCTAACCCTTCAGAATAGTTTTAGCCACAATCCACCGTTGTTACAGCTTCAATTTGTACGTTTGACATGTAATTTATAAACCTAACCTGAACCCTAACCCTAACCCTAGAGAGAGATATTTCTCAGATTGTACAATGATCTAGTATTGTGCACAGGCTATACAGCGCATTTTAAATATATTGAACAATTTAGTCAAGAGCGAAGTTATTGTGTGTATAATTTTTTAGAAGATTGTCAAAGCTAAGATAATAGACACGGTCTTGATTATTAATTTTAACGTAAATTTAACATTTCTTCAGCACTGGCAGTTGAGTGTAAACGACTATTGGCTGTTGTTGTTTTATGCTTTCAGCACCGACAGTGTAAACTATGTTTTATATTTCAGCACCGGCAGTGTAAACTATATTTATGTTTTTTAGCACCGGCAGTGTATATTATTATTTACTGTTGTTGTTTTATGTTTTCAGCACTGGCAGTGTAAACTATTATTTACAATATTCCACTATTCTCTGTGTACCAACTATATGTGGGTGTCAGTGGAAGGATTATATCTACATAATCTGATATTCTTCACAGTCTTCTCACAGAAAACTTTATACTTAATACTCTATATTCTACTAGGATGGCGTAAGTATTAACTTTATAGGGGGGTTTGGATGGCTGTATCATAAAGTCTGTCATTTAGTCGACAGGCGTGTTTTCGAATCCCCGGTTGTACGTGACAAGGAGTAGGGTCGCCTGTCCAACCTCGTGGGTTTTCTCCGGGTCCTCCGGTTTCCTCCCACTGCTAAAGACCCCTATGCGCAAGCGAATTATTGAAATAAAATTAAAACCATATGTTAGTCCCGAAATGACCTAGTTTGTGTCGAGTGGACGTTAAACCCCATTTCTCTCTCTCTCTATTAACTTTATTCGTTAACATTCACACAGCTGTATTCTTCCTGACTAAGTGGGTAAGACGCTGGCTCGCTAGCCTGGAGGTCGGGTGTTCGATCCCTGCATTGGCCGAGAAAGTTCATCCAGATTTTCCGACACGGTTTCCCCTTGTCAGTGATGCAGGACGGAGAGCCTGACAAGGACAGTTGTCTTGTCGTTCGGATGGGACGAAAAACCGAGGTCCAGTGTACACATTGGCGTGTACGTATAAAATATCCCTTGATAGTTGGAGTTCGATATAAGAGTAGGCCTAAGTAACGCTGTCCGGTCAAAATTTCCCTCATAGCACACTATATGGCGTATGCCCTCTTCATTAGCCCAGTATATGAGCAGAACAGTAGGGCGTTAATCCCATTTCATTTCGACTAACATATGGTTCAATTTCTTGCGCATATGGATCTTTAGCAGTGGGAGAAAACCGGAGGACTCGGAGGAAACCCACGAGGTTGGACAGGCCACCCTACACCTTATCACGTACAAGAGGGGAATTGAAACCACGCCACGTGACTCAATGACAGACCATTTAGCGCTTTATGAATTACTTGTAAACTACAATATTGTGAAGGGTCAATCTCTAATAGAAATATCAGTCCCAAAAATAGTTCATGTCCATTGAGAGAGAGAGAGAGAGAGAGAGAGAGAGAGAGAGAGAGAGAGAGAGAGAGAGAGAATGGGGTTTAACGTCCATTCGACACAAACTAGGTCATTTCGGGACTAACACATGGTTCAATTTTATTGCGCCTAGGGGTCTTTAGCAGTGGGGGAAAACCGGAGGACCCGGAGAAAACCCACGAGGTTGGACTCGAGCTATGCTGCTTAGCTATGTAAATAGTCCGCCGCCATTTTGTTGTCCTCGGAAATGTATTGGAAGGCCTATTTTACATCCGATTGAATCAAAGCCCGGATATTATTCAACGTTAATATTTTGATTTTGTTTTCTTATTTAAATATTAAATAATTAATCTAAGTACATATTGGTGTGGGATTAAGTCGTGAGAAATTTGATATTTTAGCGAAAAATACAAATGGCGCGTTGTTACTTCAATAAACGGGCACGGATATTAGTGCATAAACAAAAACATAAGTTAATTGAGTTTATTCATGGGGTTGAACATCCAGCATATTGGAGATCTGATTTCACAGCCGGGAAATACATCATTACCTCGCGAATAGATACTATGATTTGATGGGGTTTAGTCATGCGCTAATCGTTCGTCGTTTATGACAACGGAAATCGTTTATAAATGATGAGGATGATAATTACCTAAGCAATCTTTAAAGATACATTATGTAAGATTTAGATAAAAAGCTGGAAGTTCTTGCTATAATAGTTCAAAAATAAATAGTGAAAAATACACTATGTAAGATTTAGAGAAAGAGCTGGCTGTTCTTGTTATATAATAGTTCAAAAATAGATAGTGAAAAATAATATATATAAAATTTCTTTCAAATTACTTAATTCTGAGCGAAGCTATAATTGTTTGAAGATATAGTGTAGATCGTTCATTATCGTCCACGTTATCGTTAAATTTTTTAATCTCGCGGATGTTTAAATTCATTTATATCTCTGGGGAGTTTATGTTCTAGAAAGTTGATTATTGGCTTGTCATGTTAATAAATGACACATTTTAGGCCAAATTAAAGACCTGCAATAGACAGATTTAGCTCTTACATGATGCATCTTTAATTCAATTTGATTTGTTACTTTGTTGGTTTATTACATAAAATAGGTGGTTTTTTTATTAATTACTCTATTAAAGTAATGTAATTAAAATAGAAAACATGTGCCTAGCCTTGTATAGTATGGTGAGTAGTGGGTGTTAGTGGGGAAGCCACAGTGAATCAGTGAGTCGACATTAGCTCGCTAACCTGGAAGTCCTGTGTTGACCGAGAAAGTTCATTGGGATTTGGCGGCATGGTTTCCCCCTGGGGGGGGGGGGGCTGGAAAGGGACAAGGTATAGTCGTTCGGATGGGACAAAAAACTGAGGCCCCGTGTATATATTCGCGTGCACATACAAGAACTTAGACAAAAGTTCTCTCATAGTACATTGTATGGCGTATGTTCGTCTTTAGTAGTGACTCGCCCTAATATCCAATAATATTTTACCTCCTTTTCTATTTTCAGTGTCTCCATTACTCATTATTATACCGTGGGTTATTGTGCGGATTTTAAAAGAAAATACTCTGTAAGTTTCATTAATTTATGCTACGAAAAACCGAAAAATAAATATGAAATCGAAAATATTCCTTGGAAATAACCAAATAATACGCTTTCTATGGAATAACAATTACTATGATTTATATTACTGCGAAGTTGCAACAAGATTTCAAAGGAATTATCCAGAAAACGACGAACATTTCAACGGAATTACCCGGAAAACGACGACGATTTCGACGGAATTATCCGGAAAACGACGAATTGTAAATTAAACCAGTCTATTTAGCCACGGGTCGCGGTCATGTATTATTTAAAGAAAGTGTACTTACAAGTATATAATTAGGGATTTATTTATTTTGTTTCAGGTGTTGGAATACCCATGATTCTCAGTATTATTGGATATTAAAAGGTCCAATCATTGCATCAATTTGCGTGAGTATTCTGGTCATTTAAACAGACATTATTCAAGAGCTACATCTGCCTGATGGGGGTGGGGGGAGGGCACCCCAGAATTTCTGGTTTTAATCCGACCCTTGATTCGTGAAGCAGGTCCAGGACAGGGCCGTATGTAGGATTTTAAAAGTGGGGGTGCAACACAGTGGTGGGGCGCCATAGCCTCCACGTATGTGATAAGAAAGTTTCGATCAGGGCAAACGAACCCATTGGCGTGTGGGCGCCCTTAAAATCGATCGACTGATCAGTGCCTTAATAGCATCACTGTGTGATTATAATCAAGTGTATTATTTTATAATTGAAAGATTGTCAAATAATTTTTGTTTTTTTGGATGGAGTGGGGGGGCGCAATTTCTTGGGCGCCTTATTTTTCTGGGGGTGCAATGTACCCTCTGCACCCCCGCTAAATACGTCCCTGGTCCAGGGTGCACCATGGTATGATTGTATGAACTGTTGATTTAGTATCAGTTGAGTTTTACATATAAATATCTATAAATATCATCTGGTTTATAATTTCAGATAAATTGTTTCTTCTTTATAAATATAATTCGTGTTTTATTTACCAAATTGATGACGTCTATTACCAGAGAACCACAGCGATACAGGTTGGTAATCTTATGGATGTTTTTAAAGTTGCCCACAGACATGTGTTATTGAGTCAACTGGCGTGGTTTCCATTACCCGGTTGTACGTGACAAGGAGTAGGGTCTCCTGTCCAACCTCGTGGGTTTTCTCCGGGTCCTCCGGTTTTCTCCCACTGCTAAAGACCCCTACGCGCAAGCGAATAATTGAAATAAAATTGAACCATATGTTACTCACAAAATGACCTAGTTTGTGTCGAGTGGACGTTAAACCCTCTGTTGATGTGTATAAAGTTAGCACTCTACGCTATGTGAATAGAGATAGCATGCTACAAATATCGCTCTACGCTATTGGGCGCTGTTGTGTCCATGGTCCATGTTAATAAACCAGTAATTGTTATTCTATAAATAGTCTTAGTGTGTTACCAAAAGATGTTGGTTTGTTCTGTGTCAATGCATCCATCCATCCAGGCCTCATACCCTATTGCGACCCCGGCACTGCACGCTATTGAGATACGTTGAGTCAACGCGACCACCCAACCCCAAAAGCTACGTTACGGATCAGCTTTATGCTAAGATTTTGCACTAGATGGCTTCCAGAAAACATGGGTAATTGGCCGAGAAAGCTGTCTAGTTGTTCGGGTGGGACGGAACATCGAGGTCCCGTGTACGTCAAAGAGCCAATCGCAGTTGGATACACGGTTGTCCGGGCTACATCGTCCTCATAGAACACCAAATTCCCGTCGTCAGGTAGGTTCAGAACAGCGGAAGCTAAACCCGAATTCAAGTTTATGGGATGATAAACTGTAAATTGATATGATTGTAATGCTCTGTGTTGTATATTTATAGAAAACTGGCCAAGTCGACATTAGTTCTCATACCATTGTTTGGAGTTCAGTATATTTTATTTATAAGTATGGAGTTTGAAATGAGCGCACCAATTGAAGTTATGAAACTCTACACAGAAATGTTCCTCAACTCCTTTCTGGTAAGTGACAAGGATTAGGGTCGTATGTCTAACCTCGTGGGGGTTTTCCGGGTCCTCCTCCCACAACAGCTAAATGACCCTAAGGCGGAAGGGAATTACTGAAATAACGAAATAAAATAGAACCATATGTTAGTCCCGAAATGACCTGGTTTGTATCAAGTGAACGTTAAACTCCCCAGGTTGACAGTATAGGTTGACAGGCATTAAACAAAGCCAGGTGTGTTTCATCCATCAAAATGGATATATACATGAAACAGTTGTAATGAAATCTCGTTAAAATATGTTGAGTACCGGATCTAGGGAGAGCAAAGTGTGACAAATCCCCCCCTCCACACCACACATTTGTGCCCCCTACCCCCCCCCCCCCCCCCACACACACACACATTTGCACCTCCCCCCCCCCTCCACACATTTGTCCCTCCCCCTCCATATGTTGAGTTGATTACAGGATGACCGAGATATTGTAATTAAGCTATGAATGATATTAATAATATAATTTATAATTGCAGGGGACGATTGTAACCATATTATTTTGTTTTTTGAACGGCGAGGTTTGTATATAATTCTATAGTTTAATTATAGCTTGCTTCGAGTGCATCTTAAATATGCATTTATTATTTAGCACACCTTTATGTTAGCTTTTTTAACGAATAGGGTACTACTTCTCCGCAGTCTTGTTTAGCACACTGAAAGTGTTGTAGTGTTTTCTAATATATAGAAGTCTTTTAGCACACTATCTGCCGTGCAGCTTTTTTTAGAACACCATATATGATTTAGGAATCAGAGTATATTTGGCTTACTTTGTTCCTACACTGTGTTAAGGGTAATCGTCATATCTTATTTAGCACACCCCACTAGCATTTAGCACATATCCCATTTCTGCTTTACCGCAACGCTTGAATACTTTATAGTAAAAATATCTTAATTAGATATTAAAGATGCATTATGTAAGATTTAGATAAAGAGCTGACTGTTCTGGATATAATAATTCAAAAATAGTTAATGGAAAATGAATATGTTTAAAATTTCAGCCAATTTACTTTATTCTGAGCGAAGTTAAGAGTGTTTTGACAAGAAATAGCCGAATGTCAAATATCATTGCCATGCTAATAAAAGCAAGTCTCGGTTGTCAGTCGGTTTTTGAGTGACGTACATTTTCAAGCTAACCAATTAAATGGCGCGGCTGGTCTAATCCGTTCAATATTATGGGCTTAACATGTGAATAAATGTGTAGATAATAATTTATATATCAATGGGAAGATTGAGCTCTTGCATAATGTGTCTTTAAGTTAATGGTATGGGATATAGTTGTGTTGCTTTTGTTGAATAACTTTTTAGTATAGTCCCGCAATTGCCTAGTTTGTGTTGAGTGGACGTTAAACCACATTGCTCTCGTATCTGTCTTTTCTGATGAATCGTGGAATGATTAATAAATAAATAGATTCGTGCACTAGACAGACCATGAATGCCATTTATGGACCCAGCGGTACCATTTTATGTAGGGGGTCTATTTGCGGTTTAAGATGCGTGTCGTTGGTCTAGCACACCGTTAGTGTGTCTCTTTATAAAACTAAGGTGTAAATCGATGTGTTTCAGGTGCGCAGCGTGCTCCGGAAGAAATGGAAACCCAGAATATCGATGTAACCTAGTTTTATAGTAGACACGTATTGTTCTCTTATCCTGAGGTACATATTTAAAGGGCAACACTCCAGTCATTGTGGTCTTATTTAAAGGACAACACTCCAGTCATTGTGGTCTTATTTAAAGGGCAACACTCCAGTCATTGTGGTCTTATTTAAAGGACAACACTCCAGTCATTGTGGTCTTATTTAAATGGGGACACTCCATCTATTGTGGTCTTATTTAAAGGAGACCACTCCAGTCATTGTGGTCTTATTTAAAGGACAACACTCCAGTCATTGTGGTCTTATTTAAATGGGGACACTCCATCTATTGTGGTCTTATTTAAAGGAGACCACTCCAGTCATTGTGGTCTTATTTAAAGGACAACACTCCAGTCATTGTGGTCTTATTTAAATGGGGACACTCCATCTATTGTGGTCCTATTTAAAGGAGACCATTCCAGCCTTTGTGGTCTTATTTAAAGGAGGGCAACCATTTCCACTCCCCAGACGTTGCGGTGTAATTTAAAGGACAAAACTCCAACTTTTGTGCTCTTATTTAAAGGACAACACTCCAGCTGTTGCGTTGGTTCACGCCAGATGTAAAACGTCATGTCCGGTGTTATGTGCCTTGAATGCTATGCAGGGGGGTTGGATGGCTGAATGGTTAGCACGTGCGCGCTTTATCATAAAGCCTGTCATTGAGTCAACTGGGGGGGTTTCCAATCCCCGGTTGTACGTGACAAGGAGTAGGGTCGCCTGTCCAACCTCGTGGGTTTTCTCCGGGTCCTCCGGTATCCTCCCACTGCTATAAAGACCCCTACAAGCACGCGAATTATTGAAATAAAATTAAACCATATGTTAGTCCCGAAATGACCTAGTTTGTGTCGAGTGGACGTTAAACCCCATTTTTTTTTCTCTCTCTCTCTCTCTCTCTCTCTCTCTCTCTCTCTCTCTCTCTCTTTGAATGCTATGCTTGTCCTATGTTCACATTCTTCCATCCTGCATCATTCAATGCGATTTCTTTTTAAATTAATGGAAAATTGCCAAATGACATACACTTCAATGAAATAAATAACAGAAAATTGCCAGGTGGCCTGATTGCATACATTTGCCTGAAAAGAGGGCACAAAACAAAATAATGCAAAATTCCCACAATATTTGGCATCGAAATTTCAACGCGTGTTTCAAAACTATATGTATAAAAATGGTGGATGTAGGTCATATTTGAGTTCTCTGGTACTTCAGGGGCATTTCAATCTCGTCTCATGGAAAACAGCCTCTTCCCGAACAAAACCCACAAAAATTGACATAAGCGATGACTTGCTCGGTGGATAGACTTGGACAGGCATTTACAACAAGGTATTGGAAACAAAACTGAACTAGAACTGCGACGCAATGATGTCGGGCTTCACTGATGGCGTTATCCTGCAGTGATGGCGCTCCGATTACCAAGCAAGGTGTTGGAATCACATTTAAAAATATTCCAGCAGTTTTGATAAAACGCCAAGCTGTTAAACCTAGTGGCAACTCTTTAATTCTAAATGATTCTTTGATTATTTCACAAAACTGCGTCGTATTGAAAATGTACTTTGTTGTTTTTTCAGGTGAAGACAGAAATAAAAAAATTCTGGAGTCATCATCGGTTCGGGGGCTTAAATAACTTCTCAAGACCCAGTTTACGTAACTTCAATACTACATCATCATTCGTCGGTCGAGAGCGAGGCGGATCGGATTTCAACCAATCAGTGGCCATGGTTGAAATGGGTCGAGGCGATTCACGTAAATCTAGTCCCATTCATAATGGTGACGTCAAAAACAAGAACTGTAACGGAAGTGCGAATGGTGATTTGAACAGTAGAAATATCGTTAGTGAAAATACCTCATTGATAGACTCTGTGGGTCAAGGGGAACAACTCCCAAAAGACAGATCGGATCAAGAGAGACAACTCTCAACAAACTCTGAGAATACGTCATTGTTAAAGGATGACGTCACTGTTAACCCTGCTTAGTTGCGGAGTAATAATTGTACTATTTATATTGTGCCGTATATTTAATTCGTGTTGTACACTATTAGTGTTTTAATATTCATTAATTAATTAATATTTTATTCGTATGGGAATCTCATCATCAATTATAATAATATTATTATATTATATGGTGTGCTATACATGTAATATAGGCTTCTATATTTATTAAGTTTATTTTGAGGTTTTAATAAATAAACGAATATTATGACAGAAATACAATGGGTCGCTCTTCACCCATTCACAAATATGGTTTTTTTTTTTTATTTTTTTACTTTTATAAGTATGAACGAAATGAAATGAAATGGTTCTTCTGTTCCGGCTGGGCTAATGAGGGATCTTTTACGTGCATGCAAATGTATACACGGGACCTCGGTTTCTCTTTCGTCCCAACCGAACGACTAGACAGCTGTCCATGCCAGGCCCTCCTTCCTGCCTGCACCATTGACAAGTGGAAACCACGTCGGAATATCCCGATGAACTTTCTCGGCCAATGTAGGAATCGAACCCCCGATCTCCAGGCTAGCGAGCCAGCGTCTTACAAACTTAGCCATAGCCACTCCGGATCCCTTACGGTCAAATAGAGTATATGTTATATTCTATACTATTAAGAGAGGGGTCAGGGTGGTCGAGTGGTCTGAGTCGTGCGCTTTAGATCATAAGGTCTTATTGTTGAATCGGGTGTGGGCGTGCGCGTTGCATCATGAAGTCTGTCATTTAGTCAAGTGGCGTGGTTTCGATTCCACCGTTTGTACGTGGCAAGGAGTAGGGTCGCCTGTCCAACCTCTTGGGTTTTCTCCGGTTCCTCCGGTTTCCTCCCACTGTTAAAGACCCCTTCGCACAAACGAATTATTGAAATAATATTGAATTATACGTTAGACCTAAATGACCTAGTTTGTGTCGAGTGGACTTTAAACCCCAATTTTCAGCTCTCTGAATTAACCATGCATTTATAACCAAATTACTTTTTTCAAATCAATCGCCAGATCTGATCTGAGATGAGTAACCATGACAACCTTACATATTGTACAGAGTTTAGTGTCTCGTCAACACCATAGGTTAACAAGGCCATTTTAAATGGTCATGGTCTTTCTATTGTCATATATGCAATGCTACGGAGGACAGTTTTGCACAGACAGTGGCGATTGCTGCCAAGAATTGTTTTTCATCACGTGCATGGCACCTGTTGGGCTAAGGAACACTCTCTCTGTCAGCCCTGCATGCGTCTTTCATTCGATTACGCCGACTACCTCCGCCCGCAATACAAGGGAAATAAAATGGAATGGAGTTTAACGTCCTTCTGTTCCGACTGGGCCAATGAAAAAGAGCACACGCTATGGAGGAAATTTTACTCGTACAGCGGCACTGGACCTAATCTTATTTCGAATTTTATCTGTCAAGGGATCTTTTACGTGCATGCCAACGTGTACACGGGACCTCGGTAATCGTCCCACCCGAATGACTATACATGTACGTTGTCCCTTGCCAGGCTCTCCGTCTTCCTACACTGACAAGGGGGAACCACCCCGATGAGATTTCTTGGTCAACACCGCGATATAACTCGGGACCTGCAGGTTACCTAGACAACGTCCTACTCACTGAATCACCTGTTGTTGTTGTTTATTACAGATTTAACATCCAATACAATGAATATGACATTATGGACAGGTTGATTTAATTAAATTATTTACACTTGAAAATTACTAAAAACACAAAATAAAAACGTCCTCGGATATCAAAAGTTCCTTAAAACACACTTATAGATACTCCCCCTTTGTCATAACAAAGTTAAAACAGGAGGTCCAGCTGACTGATGTTTGGCGTCATCAGAGCTGACAGAAAAAAACCTGTGGGAAAAAGAGTCCGCTGGCTTTATGTAGAAAAGCGAAGTGCTCGCATTAAAAACCATATAGCTGGACCCGTAGATTATTTACATTAAAAGTGTTCATTCAATGAGTTCCATATGGTTAAAATTAAAGATACATTATGTAAGATTTACATAAGTAGCTGGCCATTCGTGCTATAATAGTTCGAAAATAGATAATATAACATGAATAATGTGATGATTTCATTCAAATTACTCTATTGCGAGCGAAGATATTAACCTTTGAAGGTTTAACAGGACGTGTGCAATAATTTCAACCACCGTACTGGTTGTTCGAAGTTAAGTCTCGCTTCGCCATTTTTAGCTTAAATCAAAATATGGCTGAACTGTTCTAATCTATTTAATATCGGAGAAATCCGATGCCATCGAGAGCTGATTGTGGCCTGGATAAGTTAATTAATGTCTAATTAATAATTTAGAAAACATTTAAGGCCCAAAGAAAGACCTGCAACAGGCAAATGTAACTCTTGTATAATGCTTGTTTAATTAAATTCACCTTGTTTCCCCTACATTCAATCAAACAAAATAAGATTCTAAGATCTGCGGGGATGGGGGGTGGATGGCTGAATGGTTTGCGTGCGCGCGCTGTATCATAAAGTCTGTCATTGAGTCGACTGGCATGGTTTCGAATCCTCGGTTGTACGTGACAAGGCGTAGGGTCGCCTGTCCAACCTCGTGGGTTTTCTCCGGGTCCTCCGGTTTCCTCCCATTGCTAAAGACCCCTACGCGCAAGCGAATTATTGAAATAAAATTGAACCATATGTAAGTCCCGAAATGACCTGGTTTGTGTCGAGTGGACGTTAAACCACATTTCTCTCTCTCTCTCTCTAAGATCTGCGCTTGTCCAATTAGCTTTTAAACGTGGATACACCAGCAATTATGTTCATTACCAAACAATTGAAAGTTACACTCGGGTAGTTAATTAACGCGACTAAAGCGATAATTAATTCAATTAAAATCGGATTAACGTCAAACAAATTAATCCGTTTAAAGAGATTAATATAGTCACGTGTAAACCAGGTGAAAACAGGAAGCTGTCTGGTTCTATCATAAACAACGGCTGACTTTATGGAGCGCAATATCCGCAAAAACAAAGATTAAAAAAGAAAGTCCGGTATTAATTATTCATGAATCAATCGGGATTAGCAATCTTTATTGACATCCATGTGAACAGGTAAACGTCTACTACATACATAATATTCATCACAATGTTTGCTTTTATGGAGCGCAATAGTAGCAAAATTGATCAAATATTTATTAATAATTCATTACTAAAACGGGATTATTGACAATTATTTTTCTCCGTATAAGGTACATGTTATTGTTTGCTTATATGGAGCGCATTAGTAGCAAAATTTATAAAATATTTATTAATAATTCATTATTAAAACGGGATTATTGACCATTATTTCTCTCCGTATAAGTTACATGTTATTCTTAAACGATTATGTTATAAATATGAACTGCATATATTATAGAGTGAAATATAAACCAAAGCCAAGAGCCTATACATTATTAAATCACAATAGGTATTAGATTATTTGGCAGTCATTGTCCTCCATAATGGTCTAATCCAACGTGACTAAGTGTGTGACTATAAACCCCTATTGTATACTACTTATCTCCTGGTCACGTGATCTATGATAACGGTTGTTTGACGTTGCTAACGGTATACGAGGGTTTTAGACTGGGAAGTTTACCTATCGAGTGGTTCTCTCTCTATATTCAAGGTATGGTCTTAATTTATTTTCTAAAATCTCATTTCTTCCATTTTAACTGAATTTTAGCAATTTGTAAAGTTATATATCGTTTATTGAAATGTTTTAGGGCTTGTAGATAACTTTAGACAAAGTTTTGATATGTTATAAATAGAAATTAGGGCAAGTTACTACATGCCAACCTCGAGCTTCATTAGTTGCCATTTCATTAGGCGACTACAAACCGGGGTTTCGTGTACACGATGGCGTGCACGTTAAAGAATCCCTGTCATTAATATAATTTGTGCCAAACCAAAGCTCCATTAGTTGTTTCCCGTGGATACAGGTAAATAGCAGCCTTAGGGACAGTGGGAATTTAATGAAGAGTACATGGGCTTACCTCTGCTCCCCTCTTTGATGGGGATAAGTAGATCGTCAAGCCCCAGTTCATTTTACATTTCATTAAAATAGCAATATTGTTCATAATAACACAACTTTATAGATTTACTACTTCTTAGTATTTTACATGCAACGTTTCGGTACTTTTACATGTATCTTTATCAAGCAATGATTATTAATTATTTTTTTTACATATTGTTTTACTCATGGATGTACTACAAATGTGTGATTGTATTTATTATTGATCACTATTTGATAAAGATACCTGTATATTGAAACGTTGCATGTTAAGATATAAACAATGGACTATTATTGAAGAATATTGCAAGTACCGGATATTTAACTGTTAGAAACTCTAAATTAATATGCATATAGAGGGAAAAAAACGCCATACAGTATGCTATGAGGGAAATTTTCCCGGGTCAGCAGCGCAACGGCCTACTCTTATATCGATTTCCAACTGCCAAAGGATCTTTTACGTGTACGCCAATGTGTACACGGGACCTCGGTTTTTCAAGAATATTGCAAGTACTGGAAATTATAATTGTTAGAAACTTTAAATTAGTATTCATATTCTATAGAGGAATAAACAATGGGGATTATCCAAGATTATTACAAGTACCTGAGATTAAACTGTTAGATTTTATAAACTAATATACATATTATTAATGGCGGCTTGCCACTTTAAACAGAGAAACTAATCATTTTACGCTAGTTAATTTATATTAATTTTTGTATGATAATGAGCTTAGATTATAACAAATCAAAGACACTAACCTTGTACTTAAACTTACTACAACAATCCGTGGTTTGTTATTATTAATATACATCTACCGACCGTAGAGCAGTTAAAGGGAGATAACTACATTATTCAAAATCATGGTATTAGGTCACAGATGACTAATGATTTCCCTATTGACTGCGATGTCCGCCTCTAACTTTTTCCGAAATTTTCATTGGGTAGAACCCTTTATACCACAGATGGAGCAACATGGTTCAATTTTATTTCAATCATTCGCTTGCGCGTAGGGGTCTTTAGCAGTGGGGTGAAACCAGAAGACCCGGAGAAAACCAACGAGGTTGGACAGGCGACCCTACTCCTTGTCACGTACAACCGGGGAATCGAAACCCCGCCACTTGACTCAATGACAGACCGTATGATACAGCGCGCGCGTGCTAATCATTCGGCCACCCACCCACCCCACCCCCATTAGATACAAATGTCGTAGAGGGGGCAGGATATGTCAATAGTGCCCAAAGTATAGCAACACGCGACCGACAAGGAAATATATTTTATACATCATATCCAAACTGATTTTATAAAACCATTGGCAAATTTATCGATTATTTGGATTTTGTTGTGTGAAATATTCATATTTAGCCTATAACATATCTTTCCTTGTCGGCAGTATACGGTGGGCGCTATTGCCCCTCAAAAAACGCAATTGCCGGTTCTTGTCTATACGCAAATTACAATTATTTCTATTTACATATTTCATATTCACTTCTCCGGTGATACCATAACCCCGCTTTCAACTTTCAACCTTTACCTGTTTCAAAATCAAAACCGACATCCGGCGATTCACCGAAAACATCTAGGTCATAATAATCGTGACGTAATAATCAAATGATGTCACAATGGCTTTGAAATCCACTACGTCACAACCGGTCTTAGAAACATCATTTTTTTAGCACGCCATTTTTATTTCTCTTTTTCAGTGATTCTGTGTACTAAGTTCTAAGAGTTGGTCCAAGATGCCGAAGAAAGGGAAGAAGGGAAAGAAGGGAGGAAAGAAGGGCAAGAAGGGGGGAAAGAAATCGAAAAAACAGGAGTCAGTTATGGCCATAGCAGCGGCAAATTCTAAAGTTTGGGAAGCAAGACTGGAGATTGCTGAAGCATCAAGAAATGAATATCGAGTAAACGCCCATCGGTTGGTCCAGGAGAATGACGCTCTGTCCACACAGATGGTACAAACGGAGAAGGATACCATTGACGTCATTACGTACCTCAGACAACAAGAACAAGAAAAGGATGTCGCCCTGGAAAATGAAAAACAACAAAATAGAGAACTGAAAAAACAGCACCGTCAAGAAAAGGAAATTTTGGTCGATGACTTCACGAAGCAGATCAGCGAATTAGAGGACAAACTCGGAGAGAAAATGCGGGAAATCGACCTCATCCAAGGGGAGCTAAAAACCGTGAAAGAATTCCGTCGAAAGCGCGCGCAAATGCAGAAAGATCTGGATGACATCAAAGAAGCCATGCACAACGCCAACAGAACACATAAAGAAAATGTCGGTCGAATGGAGCAGAAGTTCTTTGAAGAGAAGATGCGACTCCAACAGGAAGCAAACAAGAAAATTGCTGAGCTGGCTGAAAAGGCGCATTCGGAAGCCATCTCTAACTTAGATGAAACAACCAAAAATGTTTACAAGGAAAATGTTCGTCTGTCCGAGGCGCTGAATTTTCACATGAAGGAAAGCGACTTGCTAAAAAAGGAGCGAACTGAACTTCTCACCGAAAACGAAAAACTGAAAGGTGACAAAGAAATCAACGATATTATGGTCCAGGACAAAATTGTGCAGTCGAAGCATCAGAAGGAAAAACTTAAAGAATATGAGGAGAAAATCGAAACCCTGGAAAAATCACTGAGTCACGTGGTGCGCGAATTCGAATCGGAGAAAAGTAAACTTCAGGACGACTTGGAAACGCAGACGGCGGCCGCTAAAATCGAACTCACTAAGCTCCAACGGGTCCTTGAGATGAAATCACGCGAGATGTCGAGGGTGAAGAAATTAGCCAAGACGATCCTGGATCAGAGAACACAGCTGGAGAGGTTCTTCTTGGACTCCCTAGAAGAAGTAAAAATAGAAATCGCTGCTAATCAGACACAATATAGACGCGATGCGCAGGCGGCTTACCAACACAAGATGTTCAATGCTGTTTCCGGTAAAGGAGATTACCCCAAAGTACGAACATTTACGAAATGTGATTCTAGCACGAACAGTGTTTTTAAAGATTTGGAAGCCGCCCAGCTTCTACACGACGTCAGCAGCAAGGTAGATATTAGCGAACTGACGTGGGAACAGCGGGAACGCGTGTTGAGATATCTATTTGCTAAGATGAATTTCAGTTCCAGTTTACAAATTACCAAAGTTTCTTCCGCTCCAATCCTCCGAGAGAGTCGACCTTTGAGTATAACTCAAGGAGACGAAGGTGTTCCGGATGACACAACGTTCTTAACACAAGTTAAAGTGGAAATACCTCACGAACTAAACAAACATCCGGTCATACCAAGCATTGGTCAAACGTCATCCAACACGGCACTAGAAACCCAGTAAAGTATTATTTATTTCTCCAAAGACACTTCTGTGTGGAATCCATTGCCAGGAACCCCGACAGCATAAATCTGTATTGTGTGAATTTTTTATTTAGTGCGTATGGGGGTCTTTAGCAGTTGAAGGAAACCGGAGGAAAACAAGATGTTGGACAGACGGCCCTATTCCTCCTTAGTAATGATCATTTAAAACAGTTCGTTTCTTTGGTTTCAATCTTCATTTCAGACATGCATATTGTTTTATATCTGAACTTTTCGTGTCGATTGATGTGGAATTTGGATTTAGTGTATACGAAACTGCGTCTTAAAAAGAATCGTGGTGATTACGATCTTCATTTCAGTACAGTACATGCCATTTCAGACTTGTACGCCATTTTATCTCTGAAGCTCTTGTTTCGATTAATCTTGTTTATAAAACCCTGATAACAAAAAAAGAAATATTGTGTGCTGAGTTGAATAAATATGTAAATTAAAGACTCGATGCGTCATTTTAGACCGAAAGGAATAGATGCAAACTACAATATCGTGAAAAGGGGTTGGGTGGCCGAATGGTTAAAGCGTGTGCGTTGGATCAGAAGGTCAGCCAGTGAGTCAAATGATGTGGATTCATTTCCCCGCTTGTACGTGACAAGGAGTCGGGGCGCCTGTCCAACCTCATGTGTTTTAAGCTGGTCCTCAGGTTTTCCCCCATTGCTAAAGACCCCTACGCGCAAGCGAATTATTGGAATAAAATTGAACCATATAATAGTCCCAAAATGACCTAGTTTGTGTCGAGTGTACGTTAAACCCCATATCTCTCTCTTTTTACTGATAAGCCTATTCTAAATCCGATTGAATCCAAGCCCGGATATTATCTAGTGTTGATATTATGATTTCCTAATTAAATATTAAACAATCAATTTTACTACATGTTAATATAATTTTAGCGAAAAATACAAATGACGCACCGTGGCTTTAAATAATAATAAGAAACAACTCTGTAGATATTAATTTGTAAACAAAGTAATTCTAACCTAGATTGGAACATTCATTGCCATGTTTATTCCTAAGGGGAAATAACTCTGCTGTTGTCTCGGGCACATTAAACGTATTTTAAAAATAAAATATTGAAGACTGTGATATTGAATAAAATAATGGATATTGTTTGTTGAATTATGGTGATGATTTAATCATATAAAATTATATTTTGTATTATTGTTAAAAGTATCAACTGAAAATTAAATGTATATTGACTGTGATATGAAAAGAAACCCTGTTTAAGTTTTTATTATGTAAGAGTGTTTTGTCAACTGGAGAATACAACCCTTTTATTTCCTAAAGTCTTATTAAGGAACGCTCTATAGTACAAACCAGTTCCCGAGTTCACAAAGCATTCTCAGACTTAAGTTAAGAAATTACTCAAAATTGTTTGCCTTATTTCAACTAAAATATAGCCCTTTATAAAACTTGTGTTGTTTTAATGTATCAAATACATCATTAAGAAACTATATGCAAAGTTTTGTGTTTCTGGATCAAAGATATTTCTCATAAACAGTGATTGAAAGTTGAGTAAATTCTTAACTTTTTTAAAGTCTGAGAATGCTTTGTGGACTTGGGACGAGGCTAATGAAGATCGGGATAAGACACACGGTGTGCTACGGGGGAATTTTGTCTGTACAGCGGCGTGTCCACGTACTATTCATCGAATTATAACCGTAAAGGGTTCTTTTACGTGCACAGTAACGTGTACTCGGACCTCGGATTATCGTCCCATCCGACCAATTAGACGCCCTCCCTATGTTCAGCACATAGCGGCTAAGTGTATTTTAAACCTGAATACAAGCACTAACATTTGTATGGGTGGCCGTTTAGGGTCATTTATTAAGAAAAACCCGTTAGCCACTTAAATGTTCAAAATGGCCGTCATTGTCCAAGATTGGGTTGATTGTGGGGATTTTTATACACCCAAATATTTGTGTCGATCGACGTATTATGTTGCTGGCTATGTCCGTCCGTTTGGACGTCCGTTTCCTTTTTATTTTTTTTATCTAAAGTTCACAATTGTTACCCGATTTTGATGATACTTAAATTGTATGTTTATGTCCAATATATCACGGATAGGAACTCTTTTGGTGGGTATCGCACCGTAACCTCTTGGATTATGGTCCCCTAGTGAAATATGTTCGAAGGCTGTGGAACCTCCAGGGACCACAATAAATTTTTGCGATATATTTTAACGATCAATCGATCTTGGATGAGTTCGAATTTGGTCTGCTTGGGTTATGGTTCGTGACTTTAAATGCCGGATCTGAATTCTGTACAATGTCTGTCTGTAGATCCTCGGAGGGTTGGATAGCCGAATGGTTAGCACGTGCGCTGTATCATAAGGCCTGTCAATGAGTCAACTGGAGGGGTTTTAGATGGCTGAATGGTTAGCACGTGCGCGGTGTATCATAAGGCTTGTCATTGAGTCGACTGGCGTGGTTTCGATTCCCTGGTTGTACGTGACAAGGAGTAGGGTCGCCTGTCTAACCTCTAGCTTCCTCCCACTGCTAATAGAGACCCTACGCGCATGCGAATTAGTGAAATGACCTAGTTTGTGTCGATTGGACGTTAAACCCCATTTCTCTCTCTCTCTCCCTCCCTCTCTCTCTCCTCTCTCTCTCTCTATAGACCCTCTAGTGACCACAATTGTACTCCTGATTAAGATGAACATGTATGTTAGGGATCTAAAGACCTTCGGGAAGTTTGATTTTGGTCTGTATCAAGCTCTTGACTTATACGCAAAATGTGAATTGTGGACCCTGTAGCTAGAGCCTTCAATTTGAGTTCTAATTAGATCAAACTATTGAGTTCTAATTAGATCAAACTATTAAGTTCTAATTAGATCAAACTATTGAGTTCTAATTAGATCAAACTATTGAGTTCTAATTAGATCAAACTATTGAGCAGAACAATAGGATGTTAAACCACATTTCATTTCATTTCAATCGGAACAGCATCGTGTGTTATCTTCACGAGAGTGGGAAGGGGGTGGGGCGTCTGTTAGATGATAAATCATAAGACGAGTAATCTATGTAAATCAAGACAATGATCTCCCTCTACTTCATCCCCGACTTCTGAAAACCTCATGCACGCAAGCGAAATATTGAAATAAAATATAGAATTTGTCACCAACTTATATACGTTCAGCATATAGTGTTCCCAACTTACACAGTCATCATGATTCGACACGATTTGAAACCAGGGATAAAGGATCGAGGTCGTCCGCTCAATATAATAGGTAGATTGAAGGATGTAAACTCAACACAATTCGACGATTAGAGAATTCAGAGGTAATATTTTCTTAAAACCCTAGTTACGCTTGAGGCGGAATGAAATTTTTTTGTACATTCCTGGATATATGAAGTACATTTAAAAAATTCTGACTGTTCAAAATCTAAGTGCATTCCAACTATTCCGGCCCATTCTTGCTCAAAATTTTCGAGGTGCACTCGAAGTGTTGAAATAATATCGAATTCGAAGTGTATTCTAAATCTAATGGCACCCAACAGCTTTCGAAACATTCTGATCGCATTCGAGGGAGAATCGAAACGGCAAGGCACTTCAAATTCGGTCAGAATTCCCCGCATGCGCCTCCAATGAGCCGGAATGCACCTCGAATGGACCCGATTGCTGTCAGAATCTATTCATTGTACATTCTAATTATTCGAGCTGCATTCTGTTGGAATTGTTGGACCTTCGAACCATATTCGACGGTCATTCCGGGAGCGTTTTGACCGCATTCGAGGTGTATTTGCACCGCTCTGTGAAACATCACGCGGAGCCCTCTCTGCCAACACCCGCAGGGCCACAGTAAGTTTCCACCACAAGGTCTAATGACAAGCTGAAATCCCAAGGTCTGTCATTCCGATGTCATGCTTGTACTTGACAAGGAGTAGGGTAGTCTGTTCAACCTCGTGGGTTTTCTCCGCCAGTGATCATGCATGCGATTATCGATCGCTTTTATAGGCTGACAGGCATCTGATCATTAAAAACGAAACTGAAAGAGAAACTTTTACTTTTGTCTTCGTTTCGTTAGACGATAAAAATCGCAGTGTTTTCATATATTTTTGCAAATTGCGTACCTTTTGCCGACTAATGGCAACGCGATTCGTCACTAATGTCTCGGAGAAGCTTGTTATCCGTTTGGTTTGGCAATTTTAAGCCTCGAAAATGACCATTGATGAGTTCGCTTCCAAGCGACGAAAAGTTCAGTTTGAATCCAGTTAAACATGATTTGGGGGTATTGAAAAAAATAATCGAATAGTTTATGTAATTCCATTTGTTTGTTCGTTTAAATTTTCCTGTGACAATCGTGAACATTGATTATTATTACATCAGTTAAACTAAAACGTAGTACATGTATTCGATATGGTGCGTTAAATCCCAGTTTCTGACTGTACAGCGCAGTGGACGCTTACGGCTGGCCCCCGGATCCATTCACTTGATTTGATATTTGTTTATTGTCCGCGGGTTTATCTTGTACATTTTTGTTTTACGTGTAGTGCGGTCCTCCTGCACTTACTATTAGTAATGTGACCTCCAGTTACCTAAATATACGCCAAAATGACGCTAGTGACCTTATATTATTCAAAACATTTCGAGCCCCCCACCGCCCCTTCCCGGGATGTTTGTCCCCGATTACATGCTTTTATACTATTTGTGTAAAGGGGAGTGGCCATTTGACTGAAAGTTTCTGTTCGATTTTTCGCGAAATTTGGACTCAACTATAATTATGCTTTATTTGGACAGTTTTGAAAACAAGATAAAACAAATTGTGACCTCTAGAGGGTCCAGAAGCTAAAAACGTGATATTCCGTACAGTCAGGGGTCATGTTACAGCCCTTGTGGTATCAATTTCAAAGATGATTTGAAAATGAATGGTAGTTTCATGGGTCCCTAATGGCCTAAGCTAGTTGATGGTTTTGCCTAGTTTGGGACCCCTTTTAGTAATGAATTAAAAGTTTGATGAATTATTAAAGTAGCTAAGTCTCTAACTCAATATCATCCAAAGTCTTCGACATTGAGAACACGAATTATTGGTCAATTTAAATCAACATTGATATTGTGATCTTACCGGGAAAAGATAAGCTTCTGATATCCAATATTTAAGACAAAATATACATTTTACCATTGGTACACGAATCTTGTACCACAATGCGTTTCAGCGCCATTTGTAACACGGGACTCGAAGAACGAGGCTAGACATATTCCACAAGACATGTCAAATGGTGACGTCATATTCTTATCTGGAGAGCATGCACAATAAATACTATCGGTGTAGATTGGAATAACCAGACGCTAAAGATTGCCATTGATTGAGACTTCGAACATAACTGATTTTTAATTAGGGTAAAAACGGAAACGATTGAATGTAAATCAGTTTATATACATTCATATTACATTATTATATGCGTTGCGACCCATTTGTGTCTATTTCTAAATCCCAAATATTAGCGACTTAGGTCCTTTAAGATTGCCGGGCGATAAATATGTGCATAAGATAGAAACACCAAGATATATTCTAGAAAGCACCACTTACAGGCACTGTTTGCGCTTGGGTAGAGAGAACCACCCCGGACATCACCTCCACCCCCATAGAGTGGGAACCACTCACGGCCCCTAGTGCATCCCTGGAAACATGTAGACCGATATAGTAACCACGGTCCAGGGTTAGGGTTAGGGTTGGGATTAGCGTTAAAAATATTATTTTTAGCACTTACCCATTACAATTGTATGGCTGTAGCTTCATATCACTTCCCGTCATGCAGCCGAAGCTGGATATATGGTACAGGAGTCTGCCGAGGTTTTCCGAATGGTCGACTACACTGTGTGACACGATTCTGTGTCACGTGACGAGATAAGCGATGTGACACAATGACCAACTTGTCCCCATCCTTCTAAGAATGTACATCTCAAGGAATATGGAAGACCAAACAGCTCTTTATTCAGTGTTCTTAATTCTTAGTTCTTAGTTCACTGTTCTTAATTCACTGTTCTTAATTCTTAATTCATCATGTATGTGGCGTATTTCGACATTTGTATTGATTTACAAATCTGACATCTCTCAAATCAGATTTGTAAATTGTATTTTTGTTTAATTTAATTGTATTTTAATATAATGCAACAAATTACATTTACAGGGTCGCATGTCCAACCTCATCGATTTTCGCCGAGTCCTCCGATTTGCTCCCACTGCTAAAGACCCCTACATGCAAGCGAATTATTTAAATACAAATCAAATATTCCCGTACTGTTATATGAAACGAAATGAAATGTGGTTTAACGTCCCACTGTTCTGCCCATAACTGGGGCTAATGAAAACGGGCATACGCCATACAGTATGCTATGAGGGAAATTTTGCCCGGACAGCGACACTACGGCCCACTCTTATATCGAATTCCAACTGTCAAGGATCTTTTACGTGCACACTAATGTATACACAGGAACTCGGTTTTTTGTCCCATCCAAACGACCAGACAGCTTTCCTTGTCAGACCCTCCGTCCTGCACCACTGACAAGGGGAAACCACGCCGGAAAATCTGGATGAACTTTCTCGGCCAATGCAGAGATCGAACACCCGACCTCCAGGCTAGCGAGCCAGCGTCTTACCCACTTAGCCACCGTGACCCCCCTCCCCCCACCCCCCCCCCCCCCAGCGTACGGTTATATGTGGAAAGAAAAGATGAGAGTCTTGAACGGGCCATGTAGTATCACCGTATACTACTGTTTATTAGGGATAGTCATCGGGGTGCACCTCTACCAAAGATAGTCACCATGGTACACTGATATTGCTCCAAAATACCATTATCACAGTGTTAAAATACAGAATACACTTTTAAATAATACAAAATACAGTATAATAGTTATTTTGCACATTACACTTCTTCGTTCTGCATTCTGCATAATAGACAAATGCATAATAGAACTTAGCATATTAGATCCTTATATGGGATCTATGACGAAGTCCATTTGGATACGGAAAAAAGTCCGAACTAGGAAGGAAATTTTGTATTATTTAAAGGCTCAATACCACAATTGTTGTAACTGAATAATATGTCCCAATCTTTATTCTAGTCAACAAATTGTACTATTTTACAATATTCCAATTAATTGATGATACAAATTTCATCTTAACACATCTAATTTAAAAGTTGGAAAAATTCAACTAAATGATATGAAAATCCTAACGTAAACCTTTTCAAATCTGACTTGGATTTAAAAATATTTTCGAACTCTCTGGACAAGTAAAATAGGATGTAATGGATAATTTACACAACAGGTAGGACACTTAAACATCTAATACTTAGAATAAGGCTATTATTTATTTTCTGGAGCTGTCATCCAGCAAGAGTGTTATTGTCCCTTTAAAAGTGTATTCTGCATTTTAACACTGTGACATTGGTATTGTGGAGCAATCGATGTTGCAAATTGTAAAACTAAAATACGTATTTAGAACTGCTGACATGTACAGTTTGTACAGTGAACATTGAAATAATATTGGCAACGTTATCCATCCATACACTGATAGTAAGCTTAGTTCTACTTCCTGAACTCCATTGACAACCATTGAACAAAGACAAGGTTTGGTTCAATATGTAGGACGCCTTTCAGTGTAAGGAAATTATTGTATTTGAGGTCACTACCATAAATAAACATATTGACTCTAAATTAATGTCATATCGCAAATCCTCTATTTAATCGCCTGAATGAAGTTTACCAATAATAAATCAAGATTTAGATAAAGTTATGTATACATAGGAATTTATTAATGGCTCGTTTTATTGCCTATTATACAATATGGGGGTCTTTACCGTGCTCTGTTGATTTATATATTTTTTATTTGGTTTGTATGGTATAGTATGCTCTATTAATTTCTACACATGAGAGGTCGATTTTTATTTGGTTGGGGTGTAGTTTATTTCGGTTATTCGGCTCTGGATTCTAACAGACTAGGGATATTTTACGTACACACTATCAATATCTACACACGAGACATCAGACTGCCTAGGGATCTTGTACATGTACTATCAATATGACATGGGACTGCCTAGGGATCTTGTACGTACACTATCAATATGACTTCAGACTGCCTAGGGATCTTTTACGTGCACACTATCAATAACTACACACGTGACGTCGATTTCTTTTTTTGGAATGTGAAACTTTCGCGGCCATTACTCGGGTGGCTCGGTGAATAAGGTGCTTGCCAACTAACCAGGTGGTCTCGGATTCGATTCCGGGACTAACACATGGTTCAATTTTATTTCAATAATTCGATTGCGCGTAGGGGTCTTCAGAAGTGGGCGGAAACCGGGAGGACTCGGAGAAAACACATGAGGTTAGACAGGCGACCCCACGCCTTGTAACATACAATCAGGGAATCGAAACCACGCGAATTGGCTCAATTACAGACCTTCTGATACGACTCGCACTAGCTAACAATTCGGCCATCCACCAACCGAGATTGTTCTTCGGAATTGTCCAGCCTGGTTTTCCTCGTCTGTGGTCAATGACGTAGGCAGGACAAACACCGAAGAGCAAGTTAAAGATCCCTTGAGTGTTGGAAGTCGAAGTAAGGGAAAGAAACCCGGATAAAATATCCTGACAAACTGCATGGTGTACGTCCGTTTTCATTCGAACATTATACCCATATCAGTTCTTGCTGTGAGCAGTTGGAAGAAGGTGAATTTTGTCACTGCAGCTGCTTTCTCGAGAATGATTTCAGAATCTGTCAACCACGAGCACCTCGGGTAATGTAAAATGGTGAATCGGTTCCAATAAATTATATAACCTCTTTTATATAACCGGTATATCGGCCCCTTAAGGACAATATGTCGGACATTTTAAACACCTCATGCATAAAATGAAATGAAATGGGGTTTAATGTCCTACTGTTCTGCTCATAACTGGGCTAATGAAGACGGGCATACGCCATACAGTGTGCTATGAGGGACATTTTGCTGGGGCAGCGGCACTACGGCCTACTCTTATATCGAATTCCAACTGTCAAGGGATCTTTTACGTGCACACCAATATGTATATGGAAGCTCGATTTTTCGTCCCACCCAAACGACTATACGTTGTACTTTGCCAGGCCCTGTGTCTTGCACCACTGACAAGGAGAAACCACGCCAGAAAATCTCTAGGAACTTTCTCGGCCAGCCCAAAGGATCGAACACGGGAACATTCCAGGTTAGTCCTACTCACTGATCCACCGTGACTTCCTACTAACATAAAATCTGACGAAAGAATGAAATGAATTACGTATCGGGTTTTAACAGCCTAGCGATGGATTTGATTAGCCACAAGAATTTATGACGGGTGGGTTCAATATCTAGGACGGTAAATGCGCGTTCGTGTGTTGGTGTAACTATCAAGTGTGTAAATATTGAATACACCTTTTTTTTAAACCATAAGATTGTTGCCTTGTTGATAAAATATGTAAGACTGTTGCACGTGGGTTATGCAGGGAGTATATATATAATAGTATTCAGTCTTTATTTTTATATTTCATATGTTATCTATAGACTGGACGTGTTCTCTGGAAGGATATTATCTAGCCTACAGTAGTTTATATGCCTTTGGTGGGCTTTTTTTTAAAGAACAGTTGTGAGGATTGGTGTGTGTATATACTAAGAATTATCCTGAAGTAAGTTAACGTTTTAGTACTAGATATTACGAGGTCTCTTATAAAATGGGGAGCCACGGTGGATCAGTGAGTAGGACGTTGGCTCGCTAACTTGGAGGTCCCATGTTCAATCCCTTTTGAGAAAGTTAATTGGGATTTTCCGGTATGGTTTCCTCTTGTCAGTGGTATAGGACGGAGGTCCTGGTGAGGAACAACACGGATTGAACGAAAAAAACGACGTCCTGTGTACACATTGGCGTGCACGTGAAGAACCCTTGGCAGTTGGAATTCGAAAAAAGGGTAGGCTATGGCGCTGCTGACCAGGTAAAATTTCCCTCATAGCACACACTGCATGGCGTTCAAGTCCGTCTTCTTATAAAATGATTTATGAAGAGTAGCCGCGGTGGCTCAGCGATAAAGACACTGGCTTGCTATCCATGAAGTCTTGGGTTTGCTCCATGTGTAGACGGAGTAAGTTCATCGGGTTTTTCCGGCGTGGTTTCCCCTTATGTCTAGTCATTCGAGGGTTGGGGTGGGGGCAGGCGAAAAACCGAAGCCACATGTACATAATCGACACTGTTTTTTTATCGTACCGACTTTAGTTATGATGATCGAGACAACGCCTAAAATTCAAACGCTGATATCTCCGTTCAGAGTGGAGCAATTTAACTGAAATTTTCAACAAATTCCCTTTATATTGTTTATTTTTAACTATTGTAGTGAGAACTGCCAGCTCTTTATCTAATCCCCCTTAATATATCTTTAAAAGACACGAATTATAATTCAATATTGGTCCATTTTAATCAATGGAATCCTATTATCCGGTATTTATCCTGTATCTTTGGTTTCGCGCGCCATTTGTAATAAACAGAGAAAAACATATCCCACAATTCATTGCGGAAGTAATTAAAAATGACTGATTTACAAACGACAAAATAATATCTTAAATAAAAAAAAACGTGTAGAATGGAATATGCAGACTTGAATGACATTTGTTCAATTTGGACTGTTCACGTATTTCACATAATTGATCATAAATTACAATAAAAACTTTAAAAAAATTGAATATAAAACACTTTATATACATTAATATTACTTTGATATATGCCCCTATTTTAAGAGGGAGGGTTGGGGGCGGAGTGGATGGGCTTTGTAGAGGGTGGGGGATAAGTCGGTGGCCGAATGGTCCAATACGTGCACTTTAGATCATAAGGTCTGTCATTGAGTCAAGTGAGGTGTTTTCGATTTCCTGCTTGTACGTGACAAAGCGTAAGGTCGCATATCTATCCTCGTGGGTTTTCTCCGCCCCCCCCCCCCCCGGTTCCTCCCACTTCTAAATACCCATACGCGCAATCGAATTATTGAAATAAAATTGAACCATATGTTAATCTTGAAATGAACTAGCTTGTGTCGAGTGGACGTTAAACCCTGTTTATCTCATTTCTATCCCCATTTTAAGGTTCCGAATCCAAACTTCAACATGCTTCGATTTTAATTCTCATCTTTAATTTCGAATATTATCGATAATATTGAGTTAGAGGCTTAGCTCCTTTAAACATACATTATGACGTCACATTAATAATGATGTCATTGTAATAATCATATTAAACATACATTATGCAAGAGCTAAATCTGCCTATTGCAGGCCTTTTTTTACGCCTGAAATGTTATAAAAACTATTAATTAGACATTAATTAACCTATCCAGACCATAATCAACTCTAGATGGCATCGGATACTCGAGATTTTAACTATAGATTAAAACGGTTCGCCATTTAAAAATTTAATTTAAAAATGGGAAAGCGAGGCTAAGTCCCGATTATACCAGTGCCCTGGTTACCACTGTGCACACATCTTGTCAAAACTACAAACAATGATAACTTGGCTGAGAAAGAAGTAATTTGAATGAAATTTTCAATATTTTCTTTTTTTATCGTCTATTTTTGAATTATTATAGCAAGAATGACCAACTCTTTATTAAACTCTTAGCTAATGTATCTTTAAGAAGTGACAATAGTACACAAAAAATACCCGAGATTTATATATGTGTTGGGGAGATTTCTTAGTGCAACTTATTTGCCCTCGATATATAAAATGTAAGTTGATAAGGTAATGTGATGCTTGGCCAGTTGAGGATATCGGGGTCAATGTGTTTTATAAGTTTTATAATTTAACCCATTAAAAATGTATCGTGTAATTTGACTGTATAGGACCTACGTGCTTCGTTCAAATTCTCTTTTGCAGGGTTGGATGGCCGAATGGTTAGCACGTGCGCGCTGTATCATAATGTCTGTCATTGACCTCTACGCGCATGCGAATTATTGAACCATGTTAGTCCCGAAATGACCTAGTTAGTGTCGAGTGGGCGTTAAAGCCATCTCCTCTCTCTCTCTCTCTGAAAGGGCTAGAGTAGGGCGAAAGGCTAGATCTTGGGTTAGGGTTTGGGTTAGCGCTAGAGTCAGTATGAGCGACACAACACGCTGTTAAAAAAAATGTCACCTTCTTCTAACCGACTTGGCGGACATCATTGAAAGGATAACGCACAAATTTAAATACTCGGCCATATAAGATGAAACGTTGAGTTAAATAATTAAAATTCTGGCACTATAGCTGCATCTGTTCTTGACTTGGATATAAATAGAAGTAAATTACCTGTCAATTTATTGTAACATACCAGATGTTACTCTATATAATGGTTTCTATTCACAGATATTACTAATTTTAACTACATGTAACGATAAAGAACTATTTCTTCCTGGAATAAAATCTCTTTATTTCAAAGCACTGCCAAAGACGGAGCACAATGTATCTTTAACAGCGTATCGCCGTCAAGGAACACTATTCAGCAGATGGTCGCCACGAAAATCCTCTAACATCTTTTCCCATGCTGTTCTGCTGATGTTTTGATTCCTTTCGACGGTCATCTAAAGCTACTAATCGTCTCGTTGTTCTCCGCTAATTCAATTACGATCGACCTGAAACTTGACATAATTGTGCCTTAGATTTCGACAAGACGCCACACATCCAAGATGGATGCGATGACGTCATACTTCCTGGTGTAGGCCTACTAGTTTGCTTGACCTTTTACCTCATTTCTCGAAAATAAATAAATTTAGTTAGTTATAGGCCTAAACAGTTTACGTAAATTTGCAGATAGCCGATCATGACTCACGCCAGTATAATAAAACGTTTGGGGACTAGCCTATTCTCCTTTTTTTTTTGGGGGGGGGGGGAGGGGGGAGGGAATGGCCGAATGGTTATCGCGTGCGTGTTGTATCATAAGGTCTGTCATTGAGTCAACTGGCGTGGTTTCGATTCCCCGGTTGTATGTGACAAGGAGTAGGGTCGCTTGTCCAACCTCGTGGGTTTTCTCCGGGTTCTCCGGTTTCCTCCAACTGCTAAAGACCCCTACGCGCAAGCGAATTATTGAAATAAAATTGAACCACGTGTTAGTCCCGAAATGGCCTAGTTTGTGTCGAGTGGACGTTAAAATATCTCTCTCTATCTCTCTCTCTCTCTCTCTCTCTCTCTCTCTCTCGCTCCTTTTTATTGTGGATTGTCTTTTTTATTTTTTTATTATTTTTTTTTTAATTATTTTTAGTGAGACCTGTATAACTGCTGGACCAGGACTCTACAGTACAGTGGACGCTTAATGTAACAGTATATTAACAATCACGCCACTTTTAATCACCTTGACAACAAGATAATACAATAATTTTATTTCTATTTCAGACGAGATTATTGGAGTTTTTTATTGATGTGCAAACTCTAGCAAGGGAGTAAACGGTTAAATAGGGTATTATTTTAAGATAAAACATTTATAGGTTATTCAACCCAAAAACAATTGACAACTAAGGGCAGATAATTTAAACTCTAACCAAAGATCTATATCCAACATTTTATTTATAGTAATTGTGGATTTTTTATAAACCGAAATAGGCCTATTAGCCCACACGCTGAATCCAAAATGCCTAAAGGCGGTGAAATGATAAAGACGGTGTCGTATAAAACGACTGAAACACCAACAGACGGACATAACAATTATGTCCCTTATTTAAATGGTAAAAATGTATCAAACAACAGAGACGCCATGTTTACTACAACTGTTAACAGCGATAACTCGTCAAAGGAAAAACAAAATGGCGGAACTTCCTTGCCAACCACGAAAGTCATAATACCCGGAAGTGAGGATAGTAAATCTCAGGAGAAGAAGAGCTCAACAGGTATCTTACAATTGGTAAGTTTCAGTTTGTTTTCTTGATTTTTTTATCAAAAATTATTTCCAATTTAGACATTTTTCTGAACTGACATTACTTATTAACAAATTTATTTTTTAATTTCTTCATGTCTGGATAAAACACAATCTCATGTCTTGAAAAAAATATAATTTTCATGTTTTGAAAAAAAATATTAAATTATTTGTTCAATTTATTGAGATTAGTTGTTCAATTTGTTGAGATTAGTTGTTCAATTTGTTGAGATTAGTTGTTCAATTTGTTGAGTCTAGTTGTTCAATTTGTTGAGTCTAGTTGTTCAATTTTTGAAATTATTCTGTTCAATTTCCTGAATTTATTTTGTTCAATTTCTTGAATTTATTTTGTTCAATTTCTTGAAATTATTTTGCTCAATTTCTTGAAATTATTTTGTTCAATTTCTTGAAATTATTTTGTTCAATTTCCTGAAATTATGTTTTTCAATTTCTTGATATTATGTTTTCAATTTCTTGATATTATGTTTTCAATTTCTTGAAATTATTTTTTTCAATTTCTTGAAATTATTTTTTTCAATTTCTTGAAATTATTTTTTTCAATTTCTTGAAATTATGTTTTCAATTTCTTGAAATTATGTTTTCAATTTCTTGAAATTAGTTTTCCAAATCCTTGAAATTATCTTTTTAATTTCAGTTTACATGATTCATTAATTTTACCCAAAGAGAATTGTTTTTAAAAATTGGCAGAAGATTTCATTCAACCCCAAGTCATGCATTTACACCAATTCTTTCAAACGTTTGAGTAGAATAATTGAATATCGTCAACAGCAAAATTCGCCAAATAAATTAATAATTAGTATCTTACCTTTGAGGATTTTGCGGCTGAAAAACAAAACGTGTCCCTTATATTGAAAATTCCGATAAACAATTTATTGTTAGCAAGAGAAGAATACAATGCTGTTAAGCGTGTTACAATTGCTCGCATAATTTGATTGTTCAGTTATCAGTTAAAATACGACGTTTTAAGTCTATAGAGTTTACAGCTACTAACGAATATATGTGTTTTATCGATTTATTTAATATTCCGATGAACAGGTGATTGCCGCTTGATCATGCATATTAGCCTGGAACTGTGCGTGGTATAAATGTACATATTATTATTATTGTTGTTAGTTCGAACGGAACGATATGGCGCTAACATGTGTTACAAATGTCGTATCAATTAGATCTATATTTTTAGTTGAATAAAAATACATAATTTAGGCCTTTATATAGTCAGTTTGTCTATAGACAGACACTCCATTCTTTTATATTCGTTGTTTTGTCCAGTAAATTTACAATTTAGTTCTGTGTTATATGGTGATTATATTCGTTGTGTTGTCCGGTAAATTTGTGAAAATGTATCTGACATGGATTAGAGGGGACAGCAGAAAGAAGACCAAAGTAAAATACAATTTCATTTTCTATATCTTCTTGTTACCTTGGCGATTGTGGTTGTGTGGTGACGTGTGTGTAGGTATGGATGTAGAGGTGGGGTGGCTCATTAAGTCACGAAACCATGGCGACATTTAGTTATTAATTTATTCTGGATCCAAAGGTCATCGCGGCTTCGCCAGTTCAATAACGAGCGGCATGAAACTTGGCATGCATCGACTGGCGTCACAATACCAAGATGGTTGCGTGACGTATGTACCATAACAAGCCCGGGACTGTACAGCGGAGTGGACGCTGAGCCCCCAGGGTCCATTCACTTGATTTGATATTTGTTTATTTTTCGCAATGTCTATAATCTATCTTGTCCGCAGGTTTATCTTGTTTTGAGTGTAGTGCAGTCCCCCTGCACTTACTAATAGTTACGCTTATATTTGTTTTGTTTTTATTTTAATTTCAGTATCGTTATGTTGATAAGGTAGATGTGTTGCTGATTATTATTGGAACCTTGGGTGCCATGGCAACGGGAGCTGCTATTCCTATTAATTTGGTTATATATGGAGACGTCATTCAATCATTTGTGGGAGTTGCCCCAGGGTGAGTATGGCACTGAGTCACTGATCCATATATTATATCATATCATATAGCGTATAGCATAACAATCTCTTTCACAGGGGATTACGAAAATCTTCTTATATCTCTGTAAAAGATGACTGCCTTCAACACATGACGTCATATCACGTGGCGTCAATCATTGGTACAATGATGCGTGTATTGTTTACATAAGAGGTTACTGATTCGAGGAGAATGGCGCCTTTTAATACCCATTTACATTAAAATTATATTACTTCAAACGTCTTGATTTATTTTTCTAATACATAAAAAAAAATGTTTTAGAATTTAATTTGTCGGAGGAAAAAAGTTGATATTTGTGGATCATTTAAGTCGCATCGATGTCATCTTTATCTGTGATTGCGCGGCCTAGCGAATATTCACTGCTGATCAGTGTGATAACATAATAGTATAGTCTGGCCTAGCCTAGTCTAACCTAGCATAGCATAGCATAGCATAAGCAATATGAATTATGAATTATATGAAATTTGTATTACATATAAAACAATACACCGTCTACAGTTTTTTTTAAAACTTGAATCAAGATTAGGGCCTTTAAACAATTAGACCCTACTCCTTTTCATGTATAAGTTTGGGGTCGAAACCACGCCACTTGATTCAATGACAGACCTTATGATCTGTCGCCCACTCGTTAAACCCTTCACCGCCCACCCCCTTTGTAAATAGTGTGGTATTGACAATATTATTCTATTTTACAGCGTGCAAGCAGCGATGAGAAATATGACCATGGGGAATATGACCATGGCACCGCCAGTTGATGTAGTAAGCCAGGTGAAGGATTTGGTCATATATTTCTGTTTACTCGGCGTTGGAACATTTATTGCCGCTTATTTCGCCATTTCATTTTGGAGTTGGTCAGCAGAACGCCAGTCAAACGTCATGAGAAAGGAATATTTCCGCGCCATTATGCGACAGGAGATTGGATGGTTTGATACTCATGAAACAGGAGAACTGAATACGAAACTAGCAGCGTAAGTTTCTGTTGGTTTATTCTTTCATAAATGAAATGAAAGAGGATTTGGCGTCCTACTGTTCTGCCCCGACTGGGATAATGAAGGCGAGCATACGCCATGCCAGATTGGTGTGCATGTAAAAGATCCCTTGGCAGTATGCTATGGGAAAATTTTTTCCCGCACAGAGGTGCTACGGCCGATTTTTATATCGAATTTTCCCATGACATACTGTATGGCGTATGCCCGTCTTCATTAGCCGCATCGGGACAGAACAGTAAGACGTTAAGCCCCATTTCATTTTATTAGCAAGTCGAGGCAAAACAGTAAGCGCTATTTCAATTCATAGCGAGAGAGAGAGAGAGAGAAATGAGGTTTAACGTCCACTCGACAAAAGCTAGGTCATTTCGGTTTAACATATGGTTTAATTTCAATAATTCGCTTGTGCATAAAGGTCTTTAGCAGTGGGAGGAAACCGGAGGACCCAGAGAAAACCCACGAGGTTGGACAGGCGACCCTACTCCTCGTCACGTACAACCGGGGATTCGAAACCAAGCCAGTTGACTCAATGACAGACCTTATGATACAGCGCGCACGGGCTAACCATTCGGCCATCCAACCCCGCTTCAATTCATAGCCAAGTCGAAGTAGAACTGTACGACTTTAAGACCCGCGTTATTCATATTTTTCTTCTATATTTTGTATATGTTTTTCTACTTTCGTTTTATCTTTTTCTCTCCAGAGATTTACAAAGTATAACAGAATGTATGGGTGATAAAATAGCTATCTGTATCCAGTTTTTATCTACAGCTATAGGTGGCTTCACCATGGCGTTGGTACAGTACTGGAAGTTAGCTCTAGTAGCCATGGCATTCAGTCCAGTTGTATTATGCTGTGTATTTATTGTGAATAGGGTGAGTGAGATATGTGTTATCTAAAAGATGCATTATGTGAGTTTTAGATAAAGAGCAGGGCCCTGTTTCTCGAAATCTTAACTAAAGATAAAATCCAAATTTTAGTAGATACTTCAGTTTTGATTGGCTAAGCACAAAAATCAGTCTAATATTATCCAATCAAATTACTAAAATTTGGATTTTCTTTTAGTTAAAATTTCATGAAACAGGGCCGTGGTCGTTACTGCTATAATAGTTTAAAGATGCATTATGTAAGATATACATAAAGAGCCGACCGTTTTAGTCCGTTCAAAATGACAACCATCCGATGATGTGGAGAGTTCATTATGGGCTTCATGAGAATTAAATGTCTAATTAATAATTCATATAACAACCGAGGCCAAACAAACGATCTGCAATCAATCTGATTGAAACACAGATCATATTTCGTTTCGTTTTTTATAGTTCAAAATTTCGTTTTACTTGTCTTTACTACACTAGGATCTAGAGGAGTTGTTATGTAACCAGTGTGATGTGAGGCATTAGCCAATTCCACTCATCACTCATATGACCCCTGACCCCTGACGCAAAATCAGATCAGTAAGTTGGAATGTAAATATCTACAAGTGTGTAACAGTTTAACATTTCTAATGAGATGCAGGGACAGTGACTTAGTACCTAAAGGATTAGTCCTGAATTCGCCGGTTAAATCATTATCAGCTTACAGGATTCTACTTAAGGCTAGTAAATGTTTAGTACGAGAAAGAATACAACATTACCGAAATGAAAAACACCGCATATTTGCAAAATCAGAGATAGAACGTCAAAAATTACAAGACACCATATCAAATGAAGATTACAGTTCCCTCCGAAATATACAGACAAAATCCAACCTAAAAATAGATGATGAAATCAAAACTAGACAAACAAAGAAATACAAGTCACTTAAAGCCCAGAAGACCAAGAAGACCACTACCAGAACTAGCTCCAATGCTAGAGATGAATTCCTCTCCAAAACCGTCGTCAACCTCAGCAACCGTCCACTCACAGATGAACAGATCAACCTACTCTCTAGGGGTCTAAAGTACGCACCAACATCTAAACCAAGGAATCATGATGAGTACATAGTAAATATAGAAAAGGGCCTCCGGCTATTAGCTCCAGGTGGGAAGATAGACTACATAAGACACCAAATAGCCGAACTCATAGCGAAATCCACTCCACAACCTAACAACATCAGCAGACTAGAAAGGGAAGCCTTAAAGGAATTAAAAGAAGATAAAAACATTACAATTGTCCAAGCAGATAAAGGTAAAGCAACGGTCATTATGGATAAAGATGATTACCAGTTAACAGTGTCTAACTTATTGAACGATACTACCACATATCGCAGAATAAGGAAAGACCCAACAAGCACAATAAGTAAAGAACATACCAAAACTCTAAACGAACTTAAAGAAAAGAAACAAATAGACAACAATCTTTTTTATCAACTGCGACCTAACCATCCCCGTCCACCTTATGCTAGAGCCACCATTAAAATTCATAAAGATCCCATTAAAGCTCGCTTACTAGTCTGCTCACGAGATTCCGTCCACTACAACACAGCCCAACACCTCTCAAAACTCCTATCATCTCTAGGCAAGTCCGCTAAATCCTTCATCCGTGACTCATCAGAATTTTGTGACGAAATCAAAAATATACAAAACCCAGGTAAAATAGTTTCATATGATGTTGTTGACCTATTCACAAATGTCCCCAGATCTGAAGCTATAGAAGTTCTCCGCCACCGCCTAGACAAACTTCAATCACCTTTAAATACTCATCTCACCACAGACAGTATAATAAAATTAGTAACAGACTGTGTCAACACCACCTACTTCACATGGGGTGATGATTTATACCAACAGATACATGGCCTACCGATGGGGAGCCCCCTATCTCCACTACTAACCGAAGTTTATATGACCTCCCTGGAAGAAAAAGCTCTACAGTCCTCACCAATAACTCCTATATGCTATTATAGAAAGGTCGACGATACGTTTGTAATGCTGAAAGAAGAAGATGACCCTAACTGCCTTCTACAACACCTAAACAACCAGCACCCTAGAATCAAATTTACGATGGAGAAAGAAAACTGTGGAACCATCCCCTTCCTAGATGTCCTTGTGAATAGAAATGGCGGTACCATCCAAACAAGTGTATATCGGAAGCCCACACACACCGATCAATACATACATTATCAATCTAACCATCCCATCAAAGTCAAAGCAGCTATCATCTCAACCCTCACCCACAGAGCCAAGAAAATCTGCAATCCTGAACTCCTCAATAAAGAACTAGAACATATAAAACATACATTCTGCAACCTCAACCAATATCCTGAACAGTTAGTCAAGAAAGTCATCAACACCGCTACCAGCAATGAACCTAAACTAGCTAAGACTAAACAAGATTCACAAATTCGCATCTCTATACCATTCCACAACAAGCTATCCTACCAAATCCGGAGGCTCCTTAAGCCAGCGGGAATAGACACCAGCTTCTACACTGGTTCTACAATAAAAGATATCCTCAGCGCAAATGGTAAATGCCGACCTACAATACCTCTGCAACCAAAGGGAAGTGTTTACCAGATTACCTGCTCCTGCAAGAAATTTTACATAGGTGAAAGTAAGCGTCCATTAGATATCCGTCTCAAAGAGCACCAGTCTAAAGGCACCACCAATGAATCAGCTGTATCAGAACACCTGAAAAACAACCCCCGCCACAGAGTGAACTGGTCAGCTGTAAATACCCTTAATATCAACATCAATCAAAAGAAAACTAGAAAATTAATGGAGGGAGTACAAATAAAGAGACATCAACCAGAACTTAACAGAGACAGTGGTTTATATATCCCCAGAGCCTATGATGAATTAATTAAAACAGACTAAATTAATAATTAACATAGACTTTACTTTCACATAAATTCTTAGTATCTTTTACTCAGTTTAGCAGATTAGTTTAATGTATTGTTACATTATATGCAGCACATAATTATTATAGTACTTATAATTTATAAAAACAAACAATAAGATATTCATTAATTTTTTCTGTAACCTATAAACACATAAATATTAGCATACAGTTTCACGGTTAGTATTATAATTACTAGAGTTAATAAAATGGCCTCGCCTTTTATCTATTGTTATGGTAATTAAAATACATCAAGGCAATAACCTTATATTAATAAGTGGTTTCTACCTAGTGTACATTACAATTAAATGCTTTTGTCAATCTATATGGTTTCATTATAAGAACAAGGGTCACTGTTTTCCTAATCATGTTTTCATTGAATGTTGTGATTGTACATAGTATATATATCTCATTCCTTCTATCTGTATCAGTATTGTGCTTGAAAACGACAAGAGAATCATTGTTGAAACGTAGCTTTAATAGAAATATAGTAATTGTTATCCATATAACTTTGTGTTTATTTTTTAATGTGCTCAATTACTAAATGCCATTCAAACAGTATAGATTAAAATTAAGTTTTAAAATTTGATTGTAAATCAAACATTTAAATCACTGATTTCATATAATCATTGATTAAAGAGTTTTTGGATATTTGCCAATTTGACCCATTTGAGCACGGATTTCGGACTGAAACAGGAGTGTAAACAGGGAGAAAAAGACATCCAAGTAAATTAGAGTATGCAATTTTTGGTATTGTAGAAATTTTTAATATTGGGACAGTGAATTTCAGTAGATGTTATCCGTCATATTTCCTAGAAGCGACCTAGTTGAGTTCACAAAGTAAATTAGAGTATGAAATTTTTTGTATTATAGAAAATTTCTTAGTATTGGGACGATGAATTTCAGTAGTTGTTATCCGTCATATTTCCCACAAGCAACCTAGTTGAGTTCACAATGGGGAGGTGGGGTGGTGTAATTGTCTTCACTACAGTAGAAAATTCTTTCGGATTAACCTCAGAATTTATCATTATTTGTCAATTTTGTATAAACTAGTAATATTTCTATTTAAAGAGAACATCCAGGATTTAACAGGGTCTCAAAAACAAAGGTTTACGTATGAAATTTAAGCTCAAAAATATGGTGTATTTACCTTGTCTCAAAATTTCAGTTCGAAATATTGAGCCGTTTTGACGTCAACGCCAAAACCGCTTATCCGAATACGTAACCCTTTTAAGGGTTCGATTCAATTTTTTTTTAATCTATTGCCGTTCCTTTAATGATCTATACAGTGTATGGCCCACGTGATAACGGAAGGTACATTTCACCTACACGTTATTTTTTATAAAACAAAAGTCTGATTTTATCCAGACACCGTATAATACTGCTTGGGACACTGGTCTCCGTTTCCAGATGAAGACTGACGGGTTTAAGGTGTTTAAAAACGTATCACGTATATTGAGTTAGTCGCTCGGCCCAACAATAGGGGATTTTAAGACTCCAGACGTAGGCCGGTCACCTGGAAGATGAAAATGTAATTATCATTTTTAATAAAGTTGTTCGCTACATAATCACTTGAAAGTGCCACCAAATATTCTGTCCTCGAGACTATGGTTTGGCTGAACCTCATCCACACCCCTTTTGAAAAGGCATGTACCCGCGGGCTTTTTTTGAGTATGCGAAAAGTGTGTGTGAATTATGGAGAAAGGGGGTGTATGGTGTTAAAAATAAATAAAGGGAACTTAGTGGGTAAGATCCTGGCTCGCTAACCAGCAGGAGCTCTCGTGTTGGCCAAGAAGGTTCATCTGGATTTTCCTGCCTGGTTGGTTACCCTTTGTTAATGGTGCAGAACGGAAGGTGCGAAAAACCTAAAAGAACACTTTACAGTCGGAATTCGAAATAAGAGTAGTCATTAATGCTGCTGTCCTTGATAAAATACTCTAATAGGAGAAGCAGATAAGAAGGACGATAAACCCAATTTCATTTCAAAATAAATGTCGTTTCATGCTTATTTGGTTCATAACTGCATAGCTGAATGCACCATAATGGCATATCCCGCCTGAGATGATAAATATTTGGGGTGATTTATGTCAAAGATTAAGTACAAGTCAACGTTCCAGAATATCACATTTTATGGTATTCTCGAACAATGATTAACTCAACGATTAGGCTGGTCATAGTTTATAAAAATCATAGTTTAAAATTTAATCAGCTTTCAAGATCATGACTGGTTAGAAGATCGGTGATTAAATCTATGATTAGCTCTAAACTTTCGAAAATGTGGGCCTTAGTGTGATTCCCGCTCTACATTAATCCTCTGTAAACTATAATATTATGAAAGTGGAATCTTTAATACCAATACCTGTCCGATAATGGTTCAATTCAACCAATCGATGCGACACCCTATATAACAAGACAGTCGTTATCTATATTTGCCAGTTTGATGGACCAGTTTTTAATCCGACTGAATCAAATCCGGGAGACAATCTACCGTTGGTATTTTGATATTGTTGTCTTAATTAAATGTTAAATATTGGGGTGGGTTCAGCCGTGATATTTAATATATCTTCCGAAAAATGCAAATCAAGCATCGATACTGCCAGGATTAAAATATATATATCACATATATTCGCATTAAAATGTCGGTTCAAATGAAATATAAACAAAACAAAGCTTTATGGATATAACAATAATCGAAATCAATTATTAAATGTGACTTATAAAAAAAAATAAATGAAACTTTATTATTTCACGAAGCTTACAATTATTGTCCTAAAAATAGGATAAGTTTGGATCTGTCGAGTTTTAGTCTTCATGTTGTGTCGCAATGAGGCTGTGTATTGTTTTCCTGTATACGAGGTATAGGATTTTAAAATATTTTTTGAATCTAGACCAAGGCGTTCGTCAGCTTTATAGGGTGAAGAAATAATATGCTTGAACACATTTCATCTCGGCTAAGGAAGCCGGGTGCCTGCGTTCGCCGTAGGCGCGAAGTAAGACATCCGGCCTATGAGAAAATTAGACGTCTACGGACGCGTTTGCCTGTCATTCGGGTCCGTTAGTGCAGCAACTAGAAACTATTCCAATATATGGCATTATTTTTGTGGTTTTGGAACCGAAATCACATTAAATGTGTCCAACTGAATTCCAGATTTTATGGGAGAGGTATCAGAAATGTAATGGCCGATAAAATTCCCAATTTGAAGTCGCATAACGCGCTGCTGGTGGATATCTTGGGGGTCAGCCCATGAATACAGCGACCTTAAAGTGCTCAAATATAGCCTTATTTATATGGTTTTTCAAAATAAATTCAACTCAATCCGTTGCACTCATAGAACTTTACGTCCCAAAAAAACGATAAAGCAAATACTAATGTCTAGCAGATTGTCTAGTCTTAGAGTGGCGGTAGACACTGTTTATTACACTGATTTTAACTTTTTCTTTTTTATCCATTAGTCAATTTAAAGATATCAATTCCCGAAAAATTAATTAAATGAATAGTGCGAAAACAGTCTCACAATGCAGAATGGCTTCAGACCAAAAAGTCATGAGATTTCGGGCACTTTATTTTGTTGACTAGCAGGCAAAAGGTTTTTTTCCCCAATAATACTATATTTATATTTTTTTCACATGAGACGTCTACCCAGAGAAGTCTTACATATCGTCAACAGAATTAGAAAGACACTGTTTTGGGTTAATCAATATGGCGCCAATGGCTTCACCAAAGTGACGTCATGCCGCCTCCACGTCATTAAAGCTTCTTGAATCAGATTGATCTGCAATAGGCATATTTAGCTCTTGCATGATGTATCTTTAAGTGATAAATGTAATCATGGTTTTCTGTGGTAAACAATCGCCCACGCTCAACAAACAATCAACGAACGACAATAATACACATTAGCAACATCTGAAACTTGTTTAAAGTAGTAGCCCACCATACTCAATAAAATTATAGGACTTTCTTACTTACTAGGGCTAGATTTAGAGACTGCAATCAGTGGACCCAATATTAAAGGGACCCCAAATTAGTTAAAATGTGTACGATAAATAAATAATGTCATTTGTTATGGTATGTAGCATAACAATTTTGGCATTGTGTGGGTGTGACGGACGATGGCCAGAATGTGTCCCTTTTTACTGTTGTTACAAAGGTCTCAATGACATTTAAGCTAAGTCCAGCCTTGTACGATATCAGAAAAACTAAAAGCTTCTTTATCAGTTGTGCATTCTGTTTCACATCTATCATCATTCCTGCCTAGTTCATTAGTTGAACACAGATTTTTATAGATGTTTTAAGACTCTGCCGAAGAGTAAATGTTAAAAACAATTTATAAAAATAAACGTAACATTCGCTGACTATACTCTCACATTAACAGAACACACGCTTATAATTATCAATCACAATGGTCCGGCGCTGCACGGGTTATAAATCTGATGCCGGAAGCGGTAGTGCAGTGCCACCAGGCCTATGTTACTCCCCGATCCAAGCTACAACTATACACCCAATTGCAACCTCGGGACAGCCCCAGTGTAACCACCAACCTCGAACAGACAGACAATGGACAAACAAACAAACAAACGACAGTCACAAATATTAAGAATTAGTAATTAGAGATTAATTACCAATTAAATTACAAACAATGTTATTAATATGTTTCTCACTTAAAAATTATATAAATACTCTGACAGTTTTGGGAAATTGAACCAATACTTGAGTTAGAGTTCTAATGGAGCCACATGTACCGGGAATTGGATTTAGCTCCATTCATGAAAAAAAAGTTGTCCCCGAGCCGAGTCCAAATGCTTTGAGGTATGAAAACAACTTTAACTGACTTTCCATTCAACTCGTTGATAAAATGTCCATATCAGAACCAAAGATGTCGGCCCAAGCAAGAGTATGGTGGAAAAAGCTCCAAATTTTAACACTAACGGTAAAATTACAGTTGTCTGGAATCCAACGCATACGAGCACTATTGAAACAACTTTAATGGACGCGCTAAGTAATATTTTCATTATTCTTAATTTTACAGAAATTGCGACAAATGTCGATCACAGAATCCAAGATGTACGCCCAAGCTGGCGCTGTGGCAGAAGAAGCTTTAGGTGGTATTAGAACAGTTCAGGCTTTCCAGGGTCAAGAGAAAGAAGCACAAAGGTAATTTATAGATTTTTGTCATCTTGACTTTAAGATGTAAGTCACCTGAGTTGGAGCAATCACTGGACCTCGATTCCGAGTCGAGTCTCAAGTCTCTGGTTTTAATACCGAGTCCGGGTCGAGTCTCAAGTCTCTGGCTTTAGTATCGTGTCCGGGTCTATTTTTGGAAATGAAATAGGGTTTAGTGTCCTACTGTTCTGCTCCGAACTGGGCTAAATAAGACGGCCATACACCATACAGTGTGCTGTGAGGGAAATTTTGCCCGGACAGCGGCACTACGGTCTACTCTTATATCGAATTCCAAATGTCAAGGGATCTTTTACGTGCACGCCAATGTGTACACGGGACCTCGGTTTTTCGTCCCATCCGAAAGACTAGACAGCTCCTACTGTCCTGAAGCGACTTGCCTAATGACGATGAGCGTATGGTGGACATTAAATTGAGTCAAGTATTTGTGATACCGATCCCATAGTTATATTAGCAATTAGATCTGAACAGTATCTGGACTGAAGCGAGTTTGTCGTGTTGGGGCCGTGATTAGGTCGAGAAGGTCTTATCAAGGTCTTGTTGGATGTGGGATGGAGCGAGTTGGTCCTGCACGACCTGAACTGTCACGGCCATTCGTCGAGTGGAGGTCGAGTTTGATGCCGATTCACCAAGACTTGACGGCGACCTTCGCGATCCAAGAAGACCGTCTCCAGCTTTACAACTCAAAATATTTGAGTTGCGTTACGTCGTGCTTTGGTGTGATAGGGGCTTCATCGCATCGTCCACTGCGCTGTGCAGTCCTGGACCTGTAATGATGTAGGCTTTGCTCCAAGTTACAAACTCGCAATGACGGTGGTTGTATGCTGAATGTCATGTCTCTGAAGTGGCAAAAACTAGAAGTGGCCCAGTTTGTATTGAGTGGTCGTTAAACCCCACCCTATCATTTAACAAAACAAATCTTTTAAATTATTTGTTTTTTGTTTATCTGTTTATAGGTATGAAACTAACTTGAAGGTCATGGATAAACTAGCGGCTAAGAAAGGTATTGCTTTCGGGTTGGCCACATCAATATTCTGGTCCATCATATTCCTGGCATTCAGTCTGACCTTCTGGTATGGCGTGAAACTAAGTCAAGAAGAAGATATAGAAGTTGGAATCATAATACCGGTAAATTGATCAGTTATATCCTCCTTAGGGGGTGGGGGTGACGGAATGGTTTAACGCCTGCATCATAATACCGGTAAATTGATCAGTTATATCCTCCTTAGGGGGTGGGGGTGACGGAATGGTTTAACGCGTGAATCATAATACCGGTAAATTGATCAGTTATATCCTCCTTAGGGGGTGGGGGTGACGGAATGGTTTAACGCGTGAATCATAATACCGGTAAATTGATCAGTTATATCCTCCTTAGTGGGTGGGGGTGACGGAATGGTTTAACGCGTGAATCATAATACCGGTAAATTGATCAGTTATATCCTCCTTAGTGGGTGGGGGTGACGGAATGGTTTAACGCCTGCATCATAATACCGGTAAGGTGATCAGTTATATCCTTCTTAGGGGGTGGGGGTGACGGAATGGTTTAACGCCTGCATCATAATACCGGTAAGGTGATCAGTTATATCCTCCTTAGGGGGTGGGGGTGACGGAATGGTTTAACGCGTGAATCATAATACCGGTAAGGTGATCAGTTATATCCTCCTTAGGGGGTGGGGGTGACGGAATGGTTTAACGCGTGAATCATAATACCGGTAAGGTGATCAGTTATATCCTCTTGGGGGGGGGGACGGAATGGTTTAACGCGTGAATCATAATACCGGTAAGGTGATCAGTTATATCCTCCTTAGGGGGTGGGGGTGACGGAATGGTTTAACGCGTGAATCATAATACCGGTAAGGTGATCAGTTATATCCTCCCTAGGGGGTGGGGGGGGTGACGGAATGGTTTAACGCGTGAATCATAATACCGGTAAGGTGATCAGTTATATCCTCCTTAGGGGTGGGGGTGACGGAATGGCTTAACGCGTGCGCATCAGATCACACGGTCTGTCATTGAGTCGAGTGGCGGGGTTTCAATTTTCCAGCTTCTACGTGACAAGGAGTGGGATCGCCTGTCCGACTTCGTGGGTTTTATCCGGGTCCTTAGGTTTCCTCCCACAGCTAAAGCCCCCTAAGCACTAGCGATTTATTTAAATTAAAACTGAACCATATGTTAATCCCGAAATGACCCAATTTGTGTCCAGTGGACGTTAACCCCTCTCTCTCTCTCTCTCTCTCTCTCTCTCTCTCTCTCTCTCTCACACACACACAGGTCTGTATTTTAGAAAAGGTTAATGGATATTGATGTAAACAACTGAACACTGCCCCCATTAACAAATAAATCCATATACAATGATACTACGACGAAATAAAAGGATACCACACTGATATTGATTTAAGAATGCGTTCTCTTTCAGGTATTTTTCGGTGTTATGATTGGCTCGATGTCGCTAGGAAATGCTCTACCTTATCTGGAAACCTTCTCTAAAGCTCGTGGTTCAGCTGATAATGTCTTTAAAGTTATTGATGCCAAGCCCACTATTGACGTATCATCAGACAAGGGAGATAAACCAGAAATAGAAGGAAATGTTGAACTGAAAGGAATCGCCTTTACATATCCTTCGAGGCCAGACGTTCAGGTAGTACACGTGGTTTTCTTTTCAAACGAACACAGGGAAGTTTAGAGCTTGTCTAATTGATGTATTTGTAATTGACATTTAGCGATTGAGAAAAACATTAACAGAACACAAATTTTATTGGCAATTAATCATCGGTTTTATTATACAACCCGTGATTGATTCCCATCTTGGAATTGTGACGTCATATCAAATATCATGTCGATCGCAATGGCGGATCCAGAGATCACGGAAAGTCCGAAAATGCCATTTCCGGTCATCTAGGGCAACAATCCGGTTCTGAAGTGCGCCCCTTGGATCCAGTGGGAGGCCCCACTCCACTGGATCCACCCTCCACTGGATCCGCCCTTAGATCGATCGCTTGGGGACCAATTTCTGGTCCAAGATCAACGTTTTAATGTCTGATTATTATTACTGGATATTTTTACAGGTGCTGCGAGATTTAAATTTGAAAGTAGAGAAGGGTAAAGTCGTAGCTTTAGTTGGAGCCAGTGGATCCGGCAAATCAACAGTGGTACAACTGGTCCAACGATTCTACGATGCCGAGCAAGGACAGGTAGGATATACAATAGTTTCACTACAAATGACAACATACTCACAACAAGGGAGATAATCCCGGGTCTAACAATTTATTCACCATTAATTTCCCCCGGCATTCTCGGTATCACCAGTAGTCTCATTCCGTTGCATTCCACTATACTCTGGGTTCATCCATGGGATATTTACGTATTCAAATTATTTGCTCTTAATCGTAACTTGATTCTACAAACCAACCAATAACAGTTTACAAACTAGTCCAAATGAAATCAAAATCCCATCAGGGGAGACAAATCCAGGGCTGTATGAATTTATTAGAGGTGGGGTGGGAGACCACCATTGTTAACCTTAATTTTCGTTTGGCTGGCCATGTCTTTGCTTCAAATTTGTATAAGATTTACCACTGAAATTTTGAGATACACAAACTGGAAGTAGAATACTATGAACATGCAGATATCCGCCGTAATTTGCCCTGTAACCAATCGCATTAAACAGCACGAAGATCTGTTCTAAAAACATCGACAGAGTCTACAGAATTAAAATTGTATTTTTCTTTTTTTTTTCTTTTTTTTTTGTAAACAATATTTTATTTCACATGGAATGAAAATGGATTGGGGAACAGGCATTATAAATTAAATAAAGTTATTCAAATTGTATCAAATAAAACCAAATTATTTTCTGTAATTCTAGCTAATTGTGTTTCAGGTTCTGGTAGACGGCAAAGATATTAGGACCTTTAATGTCAGACATTTACGGCAACAAATCGGCGTGGTTAGCCAAGAACCAGTCCTGTTCGCAACGTCTATAGCCGAGAACATCAGGTACGGTCGATTAGATGTTAGTCAAGCTGATATCATCCAAGCCGCTAAACAAGCCAATGCGCATGATTATGTAATCTCCTTACCAGAGGTATGTACTTTCATTAAATTTAACAATACTAAAGTATAGTCCTTCGGATGTTACGAAAAATCGAGATCCCGTGTACACAATGACGCGCACATAGCACACTGTATGGCGTATGCCCGTCTTCATTAGTCCAGACAAGGAAAGCTGTCTAGTCGTTCGGATGGGACGAAAAACCGAGGCCCCGTGTACACATTGGCGTGCACGTAAAAGATCCCTTGGCAGTTGGAATTCGATATAAGAGTAGGCCGTAGTGCCGCTGTCCGGGCAAAATTTCCCTCATAGCACACTGTATGGCGTATGCCCGTCTTCATTAGCCCAGGTTAGGAGCAGAACAGTAGGACGTTAAACTCCATTTCATTCATTCATTCATTAGTCCAGTCGTAGCAGAACAGTAGAACATTAAACCCCATTTCATTTCATATGTCAGTGAAGAACTCATTGCTTTATATATTGATAATACATACTCCTGGAACAGTACAAGGCATGGTGTATGCCCGTCTTCATTAGCCCAGTAGGAGCAGAATTGTAGGATGTTAAACACCATTTGTCAGTTAAGGACTCATTGCCTTCTATATTGATAATTGTAGGCCTACACTATTTGTGATTGGAATAATGAGATATTTTGTGATTGTTACGGTGATACTATTTCAGGGATATGATACATTGGTTGGGGAACGAGGAGCTCAGCTCAGCGGTGGACAGAAACAGAGAATAGCCATTGCACGTGCTCTAGTTCGTAATCCTAAAATCCTGTTGTTGGATGAAGCTACCTCAGCTCTGGATCATGAAAGTGAAGCAGTTGTACAGGATGCATTAGAAAAGGTAGGAAAACAATCAAACTATCCATAGTTATGTTTCTCCGATTAGTACCCGTGTCCGTGTGTGTGGGTCCCATTAGTTCACGTTGCCTTGCGTCTGGTGATCAGGAATGGACTTAGAGTCCTGGCCCCGTTAGTGACCCCCACTCTAGTGATGTCTTAGGGACCCCCCACTCTAGCGATATCTTGGTGCTTCTATCCACCCGAGCGCGACAAACCTTTGTGAAAACAGATTGTTTATAGCTTTGTTATCTTACCAATTCACCAAAAACGACATAAATTCAAGACTAAAAACGTCTCCCAAACTGAGTGAAACCATTAATTTCCTGGTTCACCAGATTATCACGGTCTGTGTTATTATCCGTATAATGGATAATCCGTCGAGTGGCGTGGTTTCGATTCACAGCTTTTGTAGAAAGATATTATTGGTGAATTGTGTGTATCCTAGGCCCAGACTGGAAGAACTACGATAGTTATAGCCCACAGATTATCTACTGTAAAGAATGCTGATGAAATAGTGGTTGTCGATCATGGTGTTATTAAAGAACGTGGTGATCACGAGACATTGATGAATAAAGAAGAATATTATTATCGTCTGGTTAAAAGTCAGGTCTGTATTCCCACGCTTAACCTGTTTACATACAAAATAAAATTCAGTTTAAATTGACTTTTTAAGGACGGAATTCTATCCAGAATTAATGTATTTGTTTTTTAACTTGCTCAATAGAATGATTTGTTCCAATTGATTTTTGGGATAACACGGACGATTTGGTTGCTGGTGGGCGAATTAGGAGACCTGTCTTTGTAACCAGCTAGTTGTATGTTACAGATGATGGCATCCGAGAAGAAGCCGAAGACACCAGATGACGTCTCGTCAGAATCAGAAGACGAGGTAGAACATGGAGCAGAATCTGCACCTCTCGTGGTGACACAATCTCGACCTACTTTAATTAAAACTGCTAAAAGTTTGGACGAAAGTAGAAAAGCTGAAGAAGATAAAAAGGTACCGTGACAGAGCCAATCTTGAACAGTCAATAAAGGGGACTCACTTACTTTTGTATATTTTGGTCACCCCCCCCTCCCCCCGTTGCCTGTGTTCACTCCAGTGCCGTGGTGGTCTCCCCGTCCATCCATATACACTTGTACGATCTCATGGAAGCACAAAAACCCAATATTTATATCGTTTATGGGAGCTTCCGGTCATCGAGAAGTTCTGGAACATGCTAGAGTCGATTGGCAGCATATCTGAGTCCCAGTATGATTATCAAGTAATGAGAACATGAAAGTATTATGGGTGATATGATTGGTTATTTTATGTAAAATGTACTTTTAATTGTGTATGCTTTTAAAACTCTATTTAACATTCATGCATACCACTTATGAGTTGGGCCAGTTAGCCACAAATCCCAGATGCCGAAGTCGGACCATGGGGATCCGGCGGTGGACTCTCCTCACTTCGCCCACCGCTTAGTTAAAGCATTTTGTGACTTTAATTAATGGAAGAAAGTGTTCATACTTCTTTAATATACCAGGTTAAGAGTTTGAGACAAGGACAACCCCTTCCGTGATTTGAAACCGTTACTTTTAATGTGAAACCACTGACCGAATGCTAATATGGTACATACAGTCCATTTGCTGATTACACTATTTTCCCTATACCGTATTTTGTCTAATGCTTTGGATTGTTCGTACTTGGTTTTATTTTATTGTAAACTGTCAGAAGAAAATAACAAATTATTTGTGTATTATAGGTTGAAGAACCAGAAGCTAAAGTTGGTAGAATATTAAAGTTGAATTCCCCTGAATGGTTGTATCTAACAATTGGTTGCTTCTCATCATTTATGGTCGGGTTAAACCATCCGGCTTTTGCCTTCATTTTAACAGAATACATCAGAGTAAGTCCAAACATCATATCACTGCAATCGTAGTAAGTTCAAACATCATGTCACTGTAATCCGAGTATGTTCAAACATCATGTCACTGTAATCAGAGTAAGTTCAAACACCAAGTCACTGTAAACAGAGTAAGTGCAAACACCATGTCACCGTAATCAGAGTAAGTTCAAACATCATGTTACTGTAAACAGAGTAATTCCAAAACCCATGTCACTGTAGTGAGAGTAAGTTCAAACTCCACCTTGTCACTGTAATCAGAGTATTTACAGTTTTGTATATATTATAGTCATTCTGTATATAGGTCATGTATTTTTTTATATAGTCCGTGTATATTAAATGTAATTGTGTATATATTTAGAGACTTTTAGAGGCTTTTAACACAAAATTAAACAGTTTTAGTCTCCAAAATGTAATCGAGATTGGCCCTTTTAAAAATAATTTTCCTCAAAAGTAATTGTCGTGTGGTTATTTCAAATAAAAGTATGGGAATTTTGGTATATATGGAAAGGTATTCTAAATATCTTTAATGCTGTTTTTATATATATATTGTAGGTATTTTCACTACAGAACGACCCTGATGAGCAATCTAGATTAAGCATGTTGTTATCGTTGATAATGGCTGGTATTGCTATATTGGCGGCTGTTATGAGAATGTTACAGGTAAAAATAAGCACTTGTATGACGTTTATATCGATTGGACCATTGCGCATGTATTTATGATTAAAGTCAGGGTAGATCAGTGAGTATGGCGATGGGTCACTGACCAGGAGGTTATGGGTTCGATCCTGGAGTTGACCACAAAACGATTCCGTGTCAGTACTGACGGCTTTTGATCATAAGGTCTACCACTATCATTGGGTCGAGTGACCATGTTTCCAGTTTAGGATTTAACGTAAAAAAAAGTAGGGTCGTATCCTTAACCTCAACCTTGTGAGTTTTCTCTGGGTTCTCCAGTTTTTCCCCCAAGGCTAAATACGAATGGCCGGAGAGAGAGAGAGGGGGTTGGGGGGTAACGTCCACTCAACACAAACTAGGTCATTTCAGGACTAACCCATGGTTCAATATTTCAATTATTCGCTTGTGCGTAGGGGTCTTTAGCAGTGGGAGGAAACTGGGGGACCCGGAGAAAACCCACATGGTTGAACTGGCAACCCAACTCCTTGTCACGTACAACCGGGGAATCGAAACCACACCACTTGACTCAATGACAGACCTTCTAACCCAAAGCGCATGTGTTAACCATTCGGCCACCCAGCCTCCCCGCTGGCTAGTATTGACATGACCCGACTTATGTTCAGTTGAATTGTGTTTCTATTTTTTCAGAGTTATACATTCACAGTTTCTGGGTCCAGACTAACTTCAAGGTTACGTAAAATGGTTTTCAGATCTTATTTGAAACAGGTATGTCAATTTAGTTATGATTAATCTTTATCCCAGTTGTTTTACATATCACCAACTGTTTCACCTGTTGTTTCACCTGTTGTTTTACCTGTTGTTTTACCTGTTGTTGTAAATATTTCAGGATATGGAGTTCTATGATAATAAAGAGAATCAAGTGGGTATTTTAACTACAACCCTAGCTTCTGATTCAACTCTTGTTCAAGGTGTAAGTATATATAATATATATTTTAATACGTGCCAGTTACTTGTTTGGTTCATAGATTGGGTTTACATTAGATATTGAATAAAGGTTGGTGTGTACCTGACTAGGATAAATAGGGGTTGGTGTGTACCTGACTGGGATAAATAGGGGTTGGTGTGTACCTGACTGGGATAAATAGGGTTTGGCGTGTACCTAACTTGGATAAATATTGTAGGATTTTGGGCAAGCAAACAACATAATATCTGCGTCAGATTTAAAGAGACGTCAGCAGCTGATCCCCACCACTCCCCGAACACGTCTCAAGCTATTGGATCATTTGTGTGAAACCATCACCCATTGCATCCCGATAGTTTGGGTATATTGTGAACAAGACATTGTCTCAGTAGGGAGGTCGCCTGAGGGAGAACAACAATAACACAAGAAACGTCACAAGAAATAAACTTCTAAAGTAACTTATTATGGCCGAGATTTAAATGGATTTAAACGACAAAATTGACAGTCGAGGCTTAGTCTCTGTTGTCAAGTGCCGTGTCTATAATAATGAACGATTTATTCGTTCAGAATAAAGTAATTTGATTAACATTGTCAATACATTCATTTCTCATTATCAATGTTTGAACTATTATAGCAAGAACAACCAGCTCTTTATCTAAATTGTACATAATGTATCTTTAATATGACTATTAAAGCAAAAACAACCCAGCTCTTTATCTAAATCTTACATCTTTCACTCACATTGTGCGCTAAAAATAGTTCCCGGTAAATCATCAAACCGACTGTTTTGGAATGACCTTTTGATGTCAAGATGTGGAAAATGTTCCAAGCATCATTAATATGTAACTAATGCAACGACGCTGTATCTAACTCTTACAAAAGGCATCTTTCAGTGGAAATATATTTTGAATTCCAGGCTACAGGTTCAAAGATCGGGACAATGGTTGAAAGCTTCACGTTATTGGCAGCGGCTCTGGCCATAGCTTTTGCTTACGGATGGAAACTCAGTCTGGTAATTCTAGCCTTCATACCCGTCTTAATTTTATCCGGGATCATCCAGGGCAGAATGACAACAGGTTTCAGTAAATCTGATAGTGGAAGCCTTGATACGGCGGGCAAGGTAAACTTTTAGATACTGACTAGCTATATTAATCTGCTGGTAGGGAGAAGGGTTTTATATAGGCCAAATATGTTCCCCAACCCCATTCACATATCATGAATAAAAATATATTTTATGTTTCAAAAAAAATCTGTTAATGAATTTGTGTACACGGGACCTCGGTTTTCCCTTTGCTTATGCCCGTCTTCATTAGCCCAGGTTAGGAGCAGAACAGTAGGACGTTAAACTCCATTTCATTTCATTCCCTTTGCAAAGCCCTCTGTCCTGACAAGGGGAACCGCTCTGGAAATCCCTATGAACTTTCTCGGCAAACGTCTTACTCACTAAGTCACCGCGGTTCATTCTTCTCCTTCTATTAGTGTTTAACGTCCGCTTCCACCGATGGTGATATCGCAGTCAAGTTGTCTTATTGTATTAAACTAGGCGCATGCGCAAGGGCCTTTCCTGTAGGAGGAAACTGGAGTACCCAGAGTTATCCCACGAGATTGAGAATTTGCCCTATCTCCAAGCCCATACACTCGCGCCAGGGATCGCAACAACGACTGCAAGCCAGGGGTGACCGGTCAGCTAGGGTTCGAAGCTCGACACTCTAGACCACTAGGTCACCTCAACCCCCCAACATATTCGACGCTGCGGATTGTTAACTACTATATAATTTTGACTGATAGTTGATTTTGTTTCGTATTTTGATTGGTTGATTGGACGCTACATTTTCATGGGTTGATTACGTTATATTTTTTGATTGGTTTATTGTATTTTATATTTTGATTGGTTTATTCATTTATTCATTCATTCATTCATTCATTGTGTTATGTATTTTGATTGGTTGATTGTCGTCTATATGTTGTAGATTTGTTCAGAAGCTGTAGACAACATTAGAACTGTAGCGGCTCTAACCAGAGACGACATATTCTTACAGAAATATGAGGAAATGGTGAATATGGTTAAAAGGTATTACATTGTCTAAACTACGATCATTTAATAATATTTTTAAGACCCGTGCTCATTAGCCAGACGTCCCCAGGTTCGACCCTTTTTTGGTCAGTGCTGTTGGGAGGAAGGTCTGGCAAGGAACAGTCATTCGGATGATAAAAAAAAATTTCCATTGTGACCATAGGCTGTACGTGAAAGATCCTCTGGCAAATAGAAATAAGACTAGGCCTGAGCGTCATTGTCCAGGTAAAACGTTCCTTGTAACACTTTGCGTGGGAAATACCCGTCTTCTTTAGGTACCTGTCAATAAAAGGGTTGAACCCTACACCGTGGGGTTTGTTCTTCAGTTTCTATATCTTTGAGATGTGTAAGGTCCAGAAATAACGTGATGACCCCCCGGGCATCCTCCTCGGACGTTTTTCAGAATATGCAAATTGGGTCCGTCATTACCTAAATTCAGTTCATAGACCATATCTCAGTAAAACCTAACCCACGTTGTGTCAAGCACAATTTAATATTTTCCTTACCGATTAAATTCTTGTGACCTGACTGCTACCCATCTTCGTTAGCATGATTTACATACTGCACGCAGCGACCCATCTACGTCATACTTCCCAAAATGTGACACTGTCCTGATTACCCGCCATTTAAAACGCTTACGTGATCATTTTGGGGCGGGACTTATCGACAAGACACCGTTTTGTTTAGACAACAGAGTAAAAATAACCCAAGCACGTGTGTTTTATGTAAACAGGCCATGTCGCTGACACTCGCGTAAAAGCGATATATAATATGTGCTATGGGTAATATTGCAATAAATTCTTTACCAAAACAAGGTTAGATACTCCTAAATTTGTTTTCGCAAACAAAACCGCCTCTGTGAAATTATGTTTTATGGGCGCCGCCATATTGAATAATTAGAGGACTATTTTGTGATTCGGCTTTGATTAGTTTGACATCTTTCATACACACAGCGGCTAAAAAAACATATTTAATTCCATTCAATATGACAATAGAAGGGGAATAAATACTTTTAAAAAATTTTAAAAGCATACTCAGTGTTTTCGACTAAAATCGTCGATGTAGGAATTAAAATGTCGGTTAATTAGCTTAGGGCCTATTCTCAGCCGGAGCTAGCTGTAGATAGACAGCCTAAGTTTGGGATGCCTGATTTATGCAGTAAAATAAGATATTACTTAAACACAATGTCTTGTTCTGGTCTGATGGTTCCCTAGCCAGTGTGCGATAATGATATATTTATTTTTTTATTGATATTTTTATTGTAGAAATGGAAGAAAGAAAGCCTTACTGTATGGTATATTCTATGCTATCGCTCAGTCCATTGTATTTTTTGCATATGCTGCATGTTTCTATTATGGTTCTGTTTTGGTTAAAGATGGTGAAATGGAGTTCTACAATGTCTTCAGGTAATCTAACTATTTTCCATTCTAATCCTACAAATAATGCAAGGTGGATATTTGTACATTGGCGCCACGGTGACTCTTTGAGTAAGACGTTGGCTCGCTAACCTAGAAGTCACGTGTTCGCTCCCAATGTATTTTTGTCTATAATATCTGAGTATTAACAGAGTATTTTCATCTATTATATTTGAGTATTGTGTTTGTAACAGAGTATTTACAGCTATTATATTTGAGTATTGTGTTTGTAACAGAGTGTTTTCAACTATTATATTTGAGTATTGTGTTTGTAACAGAGTATTGTCAACTATTATATTTGAGTATTGTGTTTGTAACAGAGTGTTTTCAACTATAATATTTGAGTATTGTATTTGTAACAGAGTATTTTCAACTATAATATTTGGTGGTATGGTAATGGGCAGACATTCAGCTTACAGTATGGATTATAATAAAGCTAAAATAGCCGCAGCTAGATTATTTAAAATAATTGACCGAGTTCCGGAAATCGATTCTACGGATACCACTGGAAAGAAACTTGTAAGTAATGATGTGTATCTTGTCTTATGGCTCAGTGAGTAAGAGGCTGGCTCGCCAGCCTGGAGGTCGCAGGTTCGCTCCCGGTGTTGGCCGAGAAAGGTCATCGTGCTTTTCCGGGGTTCCTTCCCCTTGTCCGTGGTGTAGGACGGAGGGCCTGCTGGCAGGGACAGTTGATGGGCCGCATAACCGATTGGCGTTCACAGTAAAGATACCCTGACAGTTGGAATTCATTATAAGAATAGGCCATTTCCCTCATGACACATTGTATGGCTTTTTCCCGTCTTTATTAGCCCAGTCGGAGCAGAATATTAGGACATTTAACCCCATTTTAATTGATAGTTTATATAAACTGAAATTTCGAGAAGCTACTATTTGGATTATTTTATCTTTTAGGAAAACTTCAGTGGGGGACTAAAATTAAATAATATAATATTTAAATACCCCTCGAGACCTGACGCTACAGTTTTATCAGGTTTTGATCTAGAGGTAAATCCAGGTGAGACCGTCGCTTTAGTGGGCCACAGCGGATGCGGAAAGTCGACCACAGTTCAACTTGTACAGAGATTCTACAATCCATTAGAAGGCAATGTGGTAAGCTTTTAATACAATTGATAAAACACTCGTACTGCACTCAGCGATCAATTTGATATTGTTCGTGTAATATACAAATGGCTATTAACGACATTAAGAGATTGTAATAAATTAATGTTTTTGTTGTAGACTGTAGAAGGTGAGGAAATGAGAGAGTTAAATATCCAATGGTTACGATCACAGATTGGTATCGTATCACAAGAACCGATCCTATTCGATACAACTATCGCCGATAATATAGCATACGGTGATAATAGTAGACAAGTTTCTATAGATGAGATAATAACAGCAGCTAGAAATGCCAATATACATCAATTTATAGAAAGTCTACCTCTAGTACGTAATTAAATCAATTCTAGGAAGTGGGCGG